TGTCGTTCAAGTAAGTAACTGGTCGCCTTCGATAGTGCCTGTGCGGTCAGGTCGCTCCGGTGCATGTGTTCGGGTGCGGCCAGATCGCCCCGGTGCATGTGTCGGGGTGCGGCCAAATCGCCCTGGTGCATGTGTCGGGTGCGGCCAAATCGCCCCGGTGCATGTGTCGGGGCGCGGCCAGATCGCCCCGGTGCGTGTGTCGGGGTGCGGCCAGATCGTCCCGGTGCGTGTGTCGGGGTGCGGCCAGACCGCTCCGGTGCATGTGTCAGGGTGCGGCCAGATCGTCCCGGTGCGTGTGTCGGGGTGCGGCCAGACCGCTCCGGTGCATGTGTCGGGGTGCGGCCAGATCGCCCCGGTATATGTGTCGGAGTGCGGCCAGATCGCCCGGTGCACGTGTCTGGGTGCGGCCAGACCGCTCCGGTGCACGTGTCAGGGTGCGGCCAGATCGTCCCGGTGCGTGTGTCGGGGTGCGGCCAGACCGCTCCGGTGCATGTGTCAGGGTGCGGCCAGATCGTCCCGGTGCGTGTGTCGGGTGCGGCCAGACCGCTCCGGTGCATGTGTCGGGGTGCGGCCAGATCGCCCCGGTACATGTGTCGGGGTGCGGCCAGATCGCCCCGGTGCACGTGTCTGGGTGCGGCCAGACCGCTCCGGTGCATGTGTGGGGTGCGGCCAGATCGCCCCGGTGTGTCGGGGTCCGGTGGGCCGCAGGACCTTCGGTCGATGTCTTCAGTGGTAGTGATTTGGGGAAGGCTGATGATGTCCGGTCGGTGTTCGTGTGGTCGCTGTCTCGGATGGTGATGCTGGATCCCTGAAAGTTGCGATCTCGTGGACCCGGCCGTAGCTGGGATTGCTCTGCATTGAGGTAGCGCCCGCGCGGTGGGAAGCCTATCTAGACCCGGTATGCTTAATGTCGGTGTGTGTTCTTCGTCTTTAGCTGTCTCCTTATATTCTGTACTGCAGGTTGTCGTGCCTTTCACTTAAAACATGCTCAGTCGCCTAAAACAGCTGCTTATGGATGCGTATAACCTGGCAGGGCCAAAAGCGTTGCCGACCTTTCTCGATTTTTGCGAAGTGACCGATACAAACGCGCGCCCCATTGTTGGAGATTCGAATCATGGTCTCACATTCGAGGGTTGGTGCATTGGCAAATAGTCCGGCATGCAACGTGGCCCGGGGCAAGGGACACGATCGCCGACGGCAGGCGCTCGTGTCGTTTTAAGGAATGCAGTAAGCCGTGCCTGTTATTTTGGAGAAGATGTTTTCTAAGAAATAAGCTGAACAGGTCCCACCCCGGTTTTGTAAACCTTTTTTGTGAACGCTCAAATGTGCCTGCGATATACGCGTCCGGTGGCAGATTGAAGGCGGTTGCGTCCCGGCGGGGGTCAGTTTCACCCTTACTGAAATTAAAGAAAAAAACGGCGACTAGATGCCCTAAATTCACAGGTTGGGTAGGCCTGTATGTGAGTGAAATCCTGGCGTCAAATTTTGGGGCTTCTAGGTCATGACTGTTGGGGCCAAATGAGGTCAAAGAAGGTCAAACTCAAGCTCAGATGAGTGTCCGAAGTGCCCTTTAAACCTCCTGATGCAGCTGCATTTAACCCCGATATGTCGACTAAACCAAAAGCCGCTCGGGCTCATTCAGGTCAGTGGCTTTCTTTGCCTCGAGATTGCTTTTATTTGTCTATCTAATGTCTAGTTATCTATCTAGTCTTATGTCTGCTAGCGTCACTAAGGCGACATATTCTCTACAAAAAAGGCTAATGGGGGTCATTTTAGGTCAGTCACCTCCTTCGACATTCATTTAGTCCAAAGAGCAAATCTGTTGGCGTCCTCGTGAAACGAAACCCGAAATGAAACTTCGTTAACCACGCTTTAAAGCAAGGCCTCCAGTAACTTGTAATTGGCAATTGGGTTTTCACATCGGTCTGACCTTCATAGCTGATCCAAGGTCCGTAGGATTAGTTGTAATTCTAAACTAGATTGGTTGGCTGTCTAAGAAATCGTTCCAAAGGTGTATGCATTCGTCTAACACTCCGTTGTCGCATTGGATTAAATGATTCCCAAGGAATTGCCTTCACTGATACCCAAGGCCCGGCTCTGGCCCGTTATAGGTCAACGACCGTAAAAACTTTTTATTCCGTCGATTGTCTATTACTTTTAATTTATTTTCATACAGATGGATCGGCTATTGAATTGCCTATAGCTGTTAAAAGTTCGGTGTCGCTACGCCGCACCAGTATCTAGGCGTGTTGACGTAAGCTCCTCCTCGAGCGCATGCAGCTGGGTTATGTGGCAAGCGCGTTAGACAAAAAAGGGTGTTTATTTGCGCAGGTTTGTTGCACGTTGGTGTAATTTCGTTGAATATTTGCGCAGAAATCAAACGAGCTGTGTGTATCGTTTCATACACGGGGCTTAAAAGGAATGGTCCGCATTTGAAGATATTGCATTAAGCATCAGCTGTGATGAAATAAGCTATCGTATCACTATTGGTACACTTTTAAGTGGAAAATACTGCTCTAGACAACATATTATCTCTATTTAGCAAATATGACCCCCAGTGCGTCATCATGTGCGTGCAGGTTGGTATAGTATCACCGTTTGATTGCGTCGTCGTACCTTGCACATTACTTGAGAGCCAATGGACGGCCGTTACGTTTGATATCGCGCTCACGAACGCGAACGACATGAACAACTCGATAATTATATGTTCTTGACCTTGATCATCGCATGGCTGATGGAATGACAGGGTTGGAAGGGCGAGGTTTTGGCGTCATGTATGCTTGAGTGACCTTGAAATAGTCTCCGAAAAAGTGCACGTCCTCGCTGGCGTGAAGCTTAGAAACTAGAGAGGCTTAGGCCTTTAAAAGGGCAGGTCTGTGAACTGCACCAAAGGGTCTTCAAGATTTCAATTTCAGTTCAAAATACTATGCAAATGGGGAACACTCCCTTGAACCAAATGTCGGTGTGGTGCGTTTCGCCACTTCTTGCTCAAATGTGCCAACTTACAGAACAAAATATAAAACGTTTTGTTTTTCTGGTGCGAAAATTGAAGAGAAAACGTAGGTGAAGTTAATTGTCGAGAGGATCTGTACGATCGCCTTAGATTAGTTTGCTAAGATGCTGACTTCAGGTGCATTAAAAAAAGACCAATACAATGAATTTAGAGTTATTAGTTTGTTTGGTGTAGTATCACCGTGGCATCGCTGGCCCATCCATTTTCGAACCGAGCGTGCGGCAGCTTAGTTTGATAGACATTGAACATTGCAACGGAATTGAGCAATTGTAATGCAACGAGCAGGTTTCAGAAATCGGTCCAGCGCCGGTCGGAACTGGTGATTTTCTACTGTGAGGTGTTACTCCAATACGGGGTGTGAAACCGGTTCGACGCCGTGTTCCGTCGATGTGGCTACAAACCTTGCAACGCACGCAACGTTGCCCTACCCATAGCAACGCCAGCAATCGGCCAGAAGACAGTGGCGCTGGAATGTTTCGTCGGAGATGGTGGGATCTGAAGCCACACAGCAGGGGACTGCAAAAGCGCCAGTTTTTATTCATGCGCTTTCTGCTCCATCTGAGCGGCCTTTCGTATGCATTCAATGTGCTAGCGCAAATTAATACCCTATGCATGCAATGTGGGGGCGAAAGTCGGCCGGGTGTCGAGGTATAGGTTCGCCCAGATGATCGGGTCCTTTAGAATAATGACAACCGAGCGACAGCGGCGCAGATTCGATAAGGGTATCGTGCAATTAGTGTCGGATCTTGTTGTACTCACTGCAGCGGTTGTACGGTACAGATGGAAATATTATTTTCCGGGGTAAGATAACTGTAAAATAACGCAAGCGTGGTAAAATCGTGGTCGCCCAGACAGCAGCAGAAGCATGTGAATTACACTGAAATTATGTTGTCGATAAATAGGTTGCGCCTAATGTGATGTTCGGTCAGCATACACAGAATATCAGAGTATCACATATCAGTAAACTTAATGCGGTGTGGGCGAATCATTGAGCTAATGAAAGGGAAGAAAACACGGGCAGGATAAACTGCAGAGGTGCAGACGGCATGGATGGATGCGATGGATTCCATGGATGCGAATTGCGGCAAATGAGGAAGAGGCAAGCTAGTTATATTTTCGGCTTTGGTCGGTTCGTTGGGTAAACCCGCAGCTGTACTGTCCCCCAATGTTCTCCGTAGAAAAGCATGCAAAGCTTTGTCGGCACCTGAGACGATGGGCGACCCTCAGTTCACTGGGCCCGGCACCTGAGACGATGGGCGACCCTCAGTTCACTGGGCCCGGCACCTGAGACGATGGGCGACCCTCAGTTCACTGGGCCCGGCACCTGAGACGATGGGCGACCCTCAGTTCACGGGGCCCAGTACCTGGGAGGATGGGCGACGTGCGGATGCTTGATCGAAGCGTTCTGAGGGGACGCCTCGCCGCCGATGTTCTCCGGTGTCGTTCAAACGTTAGTTGATGTTTTTCGTAGGTGGTTTTTATGAAAGAGGTTTTCCGGCGTATGTCGGCGCACTGGTATCGTATGTGGGGCAGCCGAGTGGGTTCTCCAGGTTGTTGTCAGGCTGTGGTTGAAGGCATGTGATTTCAAGAAAAGCCTGCGAAGAGTCCTCTCTTCGGCATTTGCAATGTGTCAAGCAGCATGTGACCCAGGGTTACCACTTGGCTGTGTAGCCAGCGGCGGGAAGATGTGATGTTTTTCACCTTGCCACCCTCACGTGCTGGTCACCGGACAAGCTCGATCCGCATCGGGTCAAGAGTCCAGCGGTCTAGATCCCGGCTGGACACGACTGGCCGAGTTCGTGTGGGGCGCGGCACCGATGCCGGCCGTGCCGCTGGCGCAGGCTCGTGAGTGCACACCCCGTCGGCGTCGACAGGAGCGTGTGAAGAGTCCCAGGATAAGCCGGCGTGCGCGCGCGGCACTGTGGCGTAGGGCTGCAGATGTCGCGGAATCAGGGGCAGCATGTTCGGGGAATGCTGGTCGTTCACTTGGACGCGGGCACCATCGATGTTGTAGGCTAGAGGCGGTGCTTGTGTAGCTGTTTCTGCTAGTCGTCGATTGCCGAGCTGAGCACGTTCTCCGGGGAGCAATGGTGCAGCAGAGAACATTGGCTCCATCGGTGGCACCATTGTCCTGGTGTCGTCACGAACAGAGGTGAAAGTGCGACGGGATTTTTGAACGGTTGTTGGATAACAGGACAGGCCCTTTATTGGCCATCGATTACGGCCTTACTTGGTGACGAAGCGAAAGGAAGACCATGTTTTCAGGCTTGTGTTTCAGCTGTATGGGTACGACTATAAGCCAGCTGCCCGGTTTCGGACCCGTAATCCTGTTTCGCGAATCGCTATTACTTTAAATGGAGTTGCGGGGCTGCCCTCCGGATGGTAGAGTATGGTGACATTGTCAATGTTGAGGGTTGGTGGCTTGTATGGCCTGGCTTGCCGGTGGCTGCGGCCGAAGGTAATGCGGAACATGGAAACATTTGCAAGCAACACTGGCTGTTTTCAGAGGAGCCCCTGCGACCCGGCACATACAGGCCATCAGGCCGGAGGATCGCCACCTTGTCTAGGCCATGGGGACATTTGTGACAAAGGTTTATTAAAGTAAACTATGGGGGAGAGGGGAAGGGGCCACTGTGGTCCCGGGAACCCGATCCCGCGCCAAATTTGCGTTTCTCAAAGTATGCCACGTTTCTTATAGTGACGGACGGTAAATTCTAGGTCGAAATTGTGTGTCATTTATAAAGTTGTGCTTGAAATGATTGATAAAGGGGTTGTACCCAGTAATGAATGAGGGAATGGGTTCTGTGCTATAAGTATGTTTTCGTAGTTTTGTGACATTCCACAAAAAATAGGGCCCGAAACTCTACTGTGGTAGTGGAGCCAATCCATGCTGGGCACCACGACACTCAAATAATTCAGTTCGGCACCCCTGTTTGTGGATTTGAGCTTATTTTACTTTGTTGTTACTGCTGCTTCCAGTAGCTATCTGCTTACGTGGATCGCTTCGTTTTGTCGCCAATAATCCTTGAGGCTGCATGCGTTAAGTAAGACACAGATGAAGCTATCAGTTTTTCTTTGGTTTCTGACTTGACGCTGAAAGTAACCAATCTTCACTGCGCAAAGAGGTACTGGTTATGTTTAGATATCAGGCAATCATGGCAGTACGTTTTGAAAATACCAGACGTTTTCATATTGTATCCCAATAATTGCTTGATATTCGTCGAACCCATGCGCGCCCCTGGGACATTGAGCACGGGAAATTTGCTGCGTAAAAAGTCGTGACGTCAGTGCCATGCCGATGCCGGTTACATTGCATAAGAAACGCACGGACGAGGGTTGGCATTGATCGATCCGTGGGTGAGAGCAGCGTCGTCCCATGATAATGTCAGCTATCGAACGGCGGCCGGTCCGGTGACAGACCGTCCTGTGGGGCGCGGGCGGCGCCTGGCGGCTCTCGGAACCGCGGCGTCCAGCCGGGCCGCGTTCAATCTGGACAGCGAACTTTGCGTGCCGCGAGCGCTGTGTCGACGGCGGCGCGTGTCCGGCATGACCGCGGCGGCGGACGGCGCGGCGCTCGGACCGCCGCGCCGGCTCGACAGCTGGCCAGCCGTGTGCAACAAGCGTGCGCTCCAACGCTGCTCCGAAGCGACGGTGGTGAAGGCGCCGCGGAATGCTGCCCGGCCTGGCACTGGCGGCAGAATTGGGCTAATTTGTGACGGGACGGGCCCTGAGTCGCGTATCGAAACCTTAATGTGCTGTTCATTGTCGGGTGATTCTGGATGGGTCTAACTGCTGAGATCAGTGGTTTTACCCCAGTCGGGTTGAAATGGAGACCAGTAGAAGGTTGCAGTGGCAGGATTGTGCTGCTTGGCTCGATGCGGAGAGTCCAGCTCCTCGATCAGGCACGCGCGGGTCGTCTGAGCTGGTCGCAGGCGGCGCGCCGACAACGCGTGGTGGCCGGGCCAGCCGGCTTGTCACCGCCCTGTTACGCACAGGTCCTCAGACCATGTATATGGGACGACTTGTGGCTCTGAGTAACCTCTTCGTGACTTGTCGTGCGATTTTCCGTGACAGCCTGATATACCACATGAGTTGGAAGTGGGCAACGGAATATTGTGGCGCTCACCTCGCCGTTCGGGTCGGGCGCGGAGCGGCAGGCGCGCGCAGGTTAAACACGCAGTAGCCACGTGTTAGATACACCCTGAACTGCAGCACGGTAACGCACATGCCTATGATTGCACGCTTCCTAATCGTTACATGAGAAGATGCAGTGTCCGTCAGAGGACAACAGAAGAGCTGTGGAACTGAAGCTGGGGGAGAATTGTCCTCCAGTGCGAGGGTGGTCCCAGACCCCGCGGCTGATTACCATAGTGTCATGCGCGTGCAATGGGCGTATGGTTACTCAGGACGTGTTTTAAACGTCGTGGCTTCAGTGCAAAACGGCTCTTTTGCGAAGTTAGCCGTCCGAATGACGAAGCAACTGTGCATTGCAACCGCGTCCAATAAGACTTGACAGAGTGACTCGAGTAAGCCCTTGTACAAGCGCAAGCACAAGCGCTTGTGGTAGCGATCATCCGATGCCGTATCCCAGCGATTAGTTCGAGGTGCTCCACACAGATTTATCGCATGTGGGGCAAGACCTTTCCGCGCGAGGGTAGGAAGCGACGGCAGAAGAAGTCAGTCAATTCATGCCGTCTAAACGAGATACTTGACACGAGTCAAGCGGTATGAGATGTGCGACATATTGTGCTTATTAACCTTGAATTTTTTAAATACCCTTTATCTGTTTTGTGTCATCCTGCTTACTCCGGTCTTACCAATGGGAGCAGTGAGCTCCAAGCCCCGTATAAGCATCACACCGACGTGAACCATAGCGTTAGTGAAGCAGAGATTTCTTTGACCAGTCTCCAATCGCTGAAGGGTTCGTCGATTTCAATTGGGCGGTGGTTGCGAACATCATGGGTTGCGATACTTACCCACGACACATCATCGCACGTTAGCTTCTTGGCATTATCACGTCTAGCACTGCGTGGCGCATAAGACGTCTTAATCCTGCGCACGTGCAGCGTGCGCCCCCTGAATTCTTAATGCGCACAAGCGGTTTATGCCCCTCATATTGGATGCTGCCACCACATTGGTCGTTAGCGCGCACCGCTGTTTTCCACCCCGCTCGTGATGGTGTGTAGGCTTCCTCCTCTCAGCCATGATATGGCGCAGGGCTCCAGCTCTGAGAGGAAGTGCATACATACCACACGCTCCACGAGCCGACGGGATACAGCCCGGAGCAGCGCTGCGGCCGCGCCGTATAATTACGCGCCGTCCGGCGGCGGCGGTGTCGCCCGCAGATGGAGTGGCGCGTGTCGTCCGGCGGCGGCGGTGTCGCCCACAGATAGAATGTCGCCTGATTACATCCTGTAGAGTGGGGGAGCAGCGCTGCGGCCGCGCCGTATAATTGCGTGCCGTCCGGCGGCGGCGGTGTCGCCCGTGGATGGAGTGTCGCATGTGCCGTCCGGCGGCGGCGGTGTTGCCCGCAGATGGGGTGTCGCACGTGCCGTCCGGCGGCGGCGGTGTCGCCCGCAGATGGGGTGTCGCACGTGCCGTCCGGCGGCGGCGGTGTTGCCCGCAGATGGAGTGTCTTACGTGCCGTCCGGCGGCGGCGGCGTCGCCCGCAGATGGAATGTCGCACGTGCCGTCCGGCGGCGGCGGTGTCGCCCACAGATGGAGTGTCGCACGTGCCGTCCGGCGGCGGCGGTGTCGCCCGCAGATGGAGCGTCGCCGGATTACATCCTGCAGAGTGGGGAAGCGCCCGGGCGGGCGGCTCCGGCCTGTGAAGCGGCGGCCCAGCGCACGGGTCGCTTGGGGTACGGTCCGCGCGCGCAGTTAACCGGCGCCTTCCGCCGGCAGCAGGCTTTCTGGGAATGCGCGAACTGGGGAGGGATTGGCTTGGGGGTACCTCGACAAATGAGCAGATGTTTGGTCCGCTTCACCCAGTGAACCGACTCGTTCTTGTCAAGTTTCCTGTGGAACAGGCTGCTGACGTCTTGCCGTCATTGTTAATTTTTTCCTTTTCTTTTTGGTCTTTGGTTAAAATATTTTGGTTGGCCTTTTCTCTATCGTGCAGACAAAGCGGTGCAACAGCGATAACCTGTTGGACAGTTACCTAGAAGTGCACAGGCCAATACCTACATCAGCTTCCATGCTTTGTTTCCGTATAGCAGCGTCAATCAGTTCATTACGATCCAACGAAATTCCACCACGTTAAGCTCCGGCGCAGGAGATTGAATTGCATGTGACCAGCTGGTCCCGAGGCCGGCGGTGCGCCCCGGCGCGCTCCGGTAACGAGTGCCGCCGTCATAGGACCAGCTGGTCCCGAGGCCGGCGGTGCGCCCCGGCGCGCTCCGGTAATGAGTGCCGCCGTCATGGGACCAGCTGGTCCCGAGGCCAGCGGCGTGTCCCGGCACGCTCCGGTAACGAGTACGGCCGTCATAGGACCAGCTGGTCCCGAGTCCGGCGGTGCGCCCCGGCGCGCTCCGGTAACGAGTGCCGCCGTCATAGGACCAGCTGGTCCCGAGTCCGGCGGTGCGCCCCGGCGCGCTCCGGTAATGAGTGCCGCCGTCATGGGACCAGCTGGTCCCGAGGCCAGCGGCGTGTCCCGGCACGCTCCGGTAATGAGTGCCGCCGTCATGGGACCAGCTGGTCCCGAGGCCAGCGGCGTGTCCCGGCACGCTCCGGTAACGAGTACGGCCGTCATAGGACCAGCTGGTCCCGAGGCCAGCGGCGTGTCCCGGCACGCTCCGGTAACGAGTACGGCCGTCATAGGACCAGCTGGTCCCGAGGCCAGCGGCGTGTCCCGGCACGCTCCGGTAACGAGTGCCGCCGTCATAGGACCAGCTGGTCCCGAGTCCGGCGGTGCGCCCCGGCGCGCTCCGGTAACGAGTGCCGCCGTCATAGGACCAGCTGGTCCCGAGGCCAGCGGCGTGTCCCGGCACGCTCCGGTAATGAGTGCCGCCGTCATAGGACCAGCTGGTCCCGAGGCCAGCGGCGTGTCCCGGCACGCTCCGGTAATGAGTGCCGCCGTCATAGGACCAGCTGGTCCCGAGGCCAGCGGCGTGTCCCGGCACGCTCCGGTAACGAGTACGGCCGTCATAGGACCAGCTGGTCCCGAGGCCAGCGGCGTGTCCCGGCACGCTCCGGTAACGAGTGCTGCCGTCATAGGACCAGCTGGTCCCGAGGCCAGCGGCGTGTCCCGGCACGCTCCGGTAATGAGTGCCGCCGTCATGGGACCAGCTGGTCCCGAGGCCAGCGGCGTGTCCCGGCCCGCTCCGGTAATGAGTGCCGCCGTCATGGGACCAGCTGGTCCCGAGGCCAGCGGCGTGTCCCGGCACGCTCCGGTAACGAGTGCCGCCGTCATAGGACCAGCTGGTCCCGAGGCCAGCGGCGTGTCCCGGCACGCTCCGGTAACGAGTACGGCCGTCATAGGACCAGCTGGTCCCGAGGCCAGCGGTGCGCCCCGGCGCGCTCCGGTAACGAGTGCCGCCGTCATGGGACCAGCTGGTCCCGAGGCCAGCGGCGTGTCCCGGCCCGCTCCGGTAATGAGTGCCGCCGTCATGGGACCAGCTGGTCCCGAGGCCAGCGGCGTGTCCCGGCACGCTCCGGTAACGAGTGCCGCCGTCATAGGACCAGCTGGTCCCGAGGCCAGCGGCGTGTCCCGGCACGCTCCGGTAACGAGTACGGCCGTCATAGGACCAGCTGGTCCCGAGGCCAGCGGTGCGCCCCGGCGCGCTCCGGTAACGAGTGCCGCCGTCATAGGACCAATCTGATTGGCCGCCGGTCCAGCGCGCTGAAGAAGACGGACGTGTTCCATGGGAACTTGTGCGGCCCGCTGCCTTGACGGTTCTTGTTTTTTGCCATGGTGACCTAGGCGCACTTTCTAGGGCTAAGTGCGGTGATCACGAGTTTCGTGTGTTCGTTGCAGAGGGATTTTGTGGTAGCGTACACAAGTTTATCCCTCGGATAAAGGAAATGTTCCACCTTTGAAGATTTTGAAGGAAGTGTTAGATATGATAAGCTCACGTATTTTGTTGGTGCACTTTCAAGAGGAAAATGCTCCTCTCAACGACGCAATTCCTCTTTTTAATGAATGTGCTCCTGAACACGTTATTGTTTAATGGCGCCATGGGCTGCTTGATGTTCAGATGCTGCCGAACCAGCTGTGCGAAATTGCCACCATAGCACTGACGCATAGTACTTCAACTCCCGAGAGATAGCAGTGCTGGAGATATTCAGTCAAATCTCGTTATGCGCTCGTGTTGTGGCCCACTTGTATGGTGCTGTTGCATGTTTACTCATGAGGTTAAGAAGTTCACTCATATTCACATACTTGATTATGGCGTTTTTCGTAAATAATTCGAAAGCAAATCTTATTTCCGTAGTAACAAGCAGCCATGTCCAACTAAACGTGGTCATACAACCAAACCTAGTGATATGAAAAGACAATTGACGTCCCTCAGGTTTGGAAATCGTGATAATGGACGCCATATCTGATCGGCTGAGCAATAGCGTCTCCCTGGCCTTCATCGACGTATGACCTATGGGCGTGGCAGGATTTGTATGGCGGTGCTATGGCGTCATGCGTGCGTGAATGGTTTTTATATAGTTTGCACGAAAAAGACTGCACATTTTCGGGAGCGTGCAGCTCATAAATTGTAGGATTTTAGGTGTTTAGAAGGGCAGGATTGTGGATTGCACCGAGTGCTCATCAAAATGGTTATCTCAGTTCAAAACGCCATACAATTGTGGAGCACTCCCTTAAAAGGGAATGTTTCACGTTTGAAAATATTGAAGTAAGCATCAGATATGCTGAAACTAGCGTACTTATAATTGTTATACTTTCATGTAGAAGGGACTGCTCTAGGCAAGACAATTTTGCTGTTGAGTAAATGTGCTCCTAGGTACGTCATTGTTTGATTACTTCATTGTACCTTGTGCAATATTCATTGAGAGCCAACTGAGGACCGTTATATCTGGAAATCGTACTCATGAACGCCAGATATGGATGACTCGACCATTATATTTGTCTTGGCCTTGGTGGCTGCATGGCTTAATCAATAGCATGGTTTAAATGACGTTATGATGATGTTATGAATGCCAAGAAGACCTACAAATGCTCCCCCGACTTATTTTCCTACATCTTTACGGCTCACGAACCATAGGGCTTTAGGTCTGAAAAGGGCGTGGCTGTGAGCGCCATCAAAAGGCCTTCAATATGGCTATTTCAGTTCAAACCCCTATGCAAAGGTGGAACACTCCACTTAAGGGATTAGGCACACGGAATACTATTTTTGAGTTCGCACGTACCTCTGGCTGTGTGATGCGCATGTTTGCGATACGGATGTATGTACTTCTGCGTGATACGGGCCCCGTCAGACCCTCTTGACCTATGTGATATGCATGCACGCTTCCTGTGATAGGGGTCTCCGAAGCTTAGGCGAAGTGTTCGTCTCATGGCCTTGCGGTCATGAGCTTAGTCCTGAGCCCTGCTCGTCTCCTCAGGCTCACCGACCGCGTGAGAATATTTCGCTACGACCATGGTAGCTAAAAGCAGCGCTTCTTCGTATCCTTAATTGTTCGAGGCGTTTTCCCGCAACGGAATTGCAATTAGATTAGCAACATTTGATCAGTTGTGTTATATGATTGTTTGTGCTATAATCTACTTTCATCGTCTTCTTAATTGTGTTACGTAGAAATGACCTATCACTAATCACGGCGTTGCCATCTGTGCTGTCGGTACACTGTAGCATCATTAACATCATCACCTTCATCTTCATGACGCTGATTCGGCTGTCCGCCTGCCGGCAGAGAGAAAATGGCGCAGGCGTACGACTTCGCCCTGGACAAGATCGGCCTGGACTACCACTCGTTCCCCGTGTGGAGCGAGTACGTGGCTTTCCTCAAGGCGGCAGAGGCTGTCGGCTCGTACGCCGAGAACCAGAAGATCTCGGCTATCAGGAAGGTGAGATGGGCTGCTATCTGGACAAATCGGCACCGTTATATGTGCTAAACCAATATGTTTGTTTTCGAGATGATGCGAATGGGAAAGCCTTTGCTCATATTAGGGAGATTAATGGCAAAACGAGTCGGCATTGCTCCGTGCAGCCTCGTCGGGACCGCGATCAACAGGACAAGTAAAACATTGGAAAAGAGGTCACGTATCGTACCGATGCTACCAGGTGAGGTTTGGTTTTGAAGACTTCAAATATCTTGATTATGCTCACGAAGAAGTATCCAACGCACAATCATCAATTATTGTCAGTCCACACCAGTATCTGGTTTTAGGTCTGGTCAAAATCACAGTGCAATAATGGGGTAGTCATGAGCATTGAGCATAATTTTGCTTAGTCATGGCTACATTTTGTCGTGTATGTCGAGGTTCTACCGCAAATGCACTGTGAAAATAAAACATTAGCACCCATATTTCTCAAGTTTGGGGAAAATGCGCCTCAGAGTCATATGATGCTCCGAATCTAGCTGTGCTGTTTTAAACGCAGTTGACTATAGATTGTACAAAACATTTAGAAAGATGTGAACATGTGCACTGTTCACTTGCGTTGAATAAGGGTGAACCTCCTTTTTGGTTCCCGCCATTGGGTACCTGTTTCCTTCCATTTTGTGACCTTGTGCTCGGACACCAGGATAGCACGAATAACGGAGCTTTGCGCTCAGAATAAGTATGACATGATGTATTTTGATGAAGAAATCAGAGGTAAAAAGGTTGATTAGGAGGAACAGCCGTGATCTTCTTTTGTAGATTTGGCATTCAAATTGTAATGCATTCGTGTCAAGGTTTGGGGTAAAGAACCCATCCGAGATTGTTTCGTTATCGGAACATTTTTAACGAAAAACAGCGAAATACCCGTTCGCGGTTAGGTTATCAAGGGTAACCATTCAATACTCAGCATGTGACGTTTCACAGCTGCCTAGGTCTGTAACCTGGTCCCGGGTAGTCTAGTCGAGATAAAAACCGCATCATCTGACTATTCGGTAAAAACATCGGCACGGATAATGCGTCGCATACCACAAACGGCTGACCGGTGTGATCTGCCTACCACGTTGGTTGGCGTATCTGTTGTCCCTTTAAGTAAGCTGTTGATATATCTCGAAGTTGCCCACTGGGCGTAGTCGTTAGTTGTGGCGTCAGTGGTGGCGGCGTCGTTAGTTGTTAGTGTTCTAGGCGGCGTAGTAAGAGGCTAGTTAGTGGTAAGTGGTGGCGTAGTTACCTAGTTGGTGGTGGTAACGGTGGTGACGAAAGGGCGCGAGGAAGCTGCAAACTGCTTAACTAGCTGGTTCAGAGCAGGAAGAGCGTGTGCAGAGTTCCCTCACTTCCATCTTTAACTTGAAGGGCAGAATGTGGGGAGGAGCATTTCAGTGGCGGGTAAGCTTGCTGCACAGCGTCGCCGACATAGAGAGTCACGGTCATGATTCGACGTGGAGTTCGGCCGATGAAGTCGACTGCGGATCAGCTCGTTGAAACGCCGACGTGACGTTCATCTATCAAGGAACCTTGTGGGTCTGGCGAAGCCGAGTGTGAGTGATTGCCTCAAGAAGGCGATGATGCGTGATGATCGGTACTTGGCCCGGTGGGCAGCGTGAGTGATTAATTCCAATATCTGCGGTGCAGTTGATAAAACTTCGGTTCCGCCGTCTCCTACCCTTCACCCCAATGCTACCTCAGGTGCCGTAAATGAAATCCAGCCCTCTACCGTGCGCATCGTAAGGCATAAGTTCCGCCTTCTGCCGCAGGTGTACCAGCGCGGCGTCGTGACGCCCATGAACAACGTGGAAATTCTCTGGAAGGACTACATGACGTTCGAGAACAGCATCAACCCAATCATCGCCGAGAAGATGAGCATGGAGTACACGCGCGACCACATCAACGCCAAGCGCGTGGCGCGCGAGATGGAGAACGAGATTCGGGGCTTGAACCGCAACTTTCCCAGCGTGCCGCCCACCGGTAGCCCCGAGGAGCAGAAGCAGGTGAGCGGCCGGTCGCCGGTCGCGGCCCGCAGCCGAGACCGTCAGCGCATTGTTCTGCCGCCTTGCTGTGTCAGGCAGCACCGATGTCGCCATGCGAGAGCCAGTGAAGGGCGCTATAGGACCGCGCAGTCCAAGCGCCCCATAACTCCAATTACTGCATTAGGCAGTGATGGTTTACTGCAGTCCCGATGTGTTTATTGCAGTGGAACGCGAGCTGAGGCGTATGGGACGACCGAGGTTAACAACTATGCACGCACTTGAGTCATTTCTACCGATATGCGTCCACCGTGCGCGGGGCAGAATGACACAACCACTGTACCATCCATTCCCAACATCTGCAAATAGTCTTAGTCGGCATGCTGAGACCTTCGCTCCACTGATCATCGAGCCCTTTTCTGCCGCTGTGGGGCCACAATAGATTAGCGATAGCGAACTATCGCTGTGGTGGCATCCCTATCGCTTTGCGGGTGGCGCCACCAGCGGGCTGCGGTCCAACTAAAGTTTCGAAGAGTCACCGTCAGATGACAGCACCGCACCGATGACGTTGCCGATCATCTCGACTCCGGGTCCGTTGATCTCTTCGAAACCGTCTATCTCGGTGCGCACCCTGGCGAGCCAGCGCTGCACGTGAGGGTAGGTCGAGAGGTCGACCATCTCCGGCTGTGGACGGTGAGGGCCGACATGTCACGCGCTTGTCCGTGCCATTGGAACACCACGTGCCCATCACCGACAGGACCATTATCGCAATCACCATTGCCGTTATCTGATTGCTTATAATTTAGTTGTGTCATGCATTTTCATGATATTACTTCGTTTTATCAGCAGTACAATATTACTGCCTTTGCAATTTAGCGTGATTCTGCAATTAATTAAGGTACACTAACTTTTGAATATATTTTCATCGGTGCATAGGGGCATCGGGTTTGCATTGAGTCATCTCTCGCCGGGCGATGATGATCATTGAAATACACAGCACACCCGACGACCCATGTCACCTCTGGCTGCGATGACCGGTAGCACGCGCTGTGACGTGGTTAGTTACTCCCTCGGCAGTCGTGGCATCCACCCACTTGTCACGTGGTGTCCCTGACCCGCGCTGTGACGTGGTTAGTTACTCCCTCGGCAGTCGTGGCATCCACTCACTTGTCACGTGGTGTCTCTGACCCGCGCTGTGACGTGGTTAGTTACTCCCTCGGCAGTCGTGGCATCCACCCACTTGTCACGTGGTGTCCCTGACCCGCGCTGTGGCGTGGTTAGTTACTCCCTCGGCAGTTACCAGCCCACCCCTCACGCGGTGATGGGTTCTGTTGTACATGCCCGGCAGTTCTGGACCCGGCCGTGCCCAACACATCCTGACACGGCGTGTAATAATTTGCTTAGATCCTCGGCGTGTATATATGTGCAACGGATTCTGTCCATGTGCTGACATAGCCTATGGCAACGAGCCAAGCCGTCCTGCCTCCCATCAGATCGGGCAAGTGCTGATGTGGTCTGTGATGACCCGCCACCAGTCCCGCGTCCTGCCCTAGCCAATGTATGCTGAAGTGGTCTGTGATGACCCGCCAGCAGTCCCGCGTCCTGCCCTAGCCAATGTATGCTGAAGTGGTCTGTGATGACCCGCCAGCGGTCCCGCGTCCTGCCCTAGCCAATGTATGCTGACGTGGTATGTGATGACCAGTCAGCAGTCCTGCGTCCTGCCTTAACCAAGGTGTGCTGATGTGGTCTGTGATGACCCGCCAGCAGTCCCACGTCCTGCCCTACCTAATGTATGCTGACGTGGTCTGTGATGACGCGGCAGCAGGACTGCGTCCTGCCCTAGCCAATGTATGCTGACGTGGTCTGTGACGACCCGCCAGCAGTCACGCGTCCTGTCCTAGCCAATGTGTGCTGACGTGGTCTGTGATGACCCGCCAGAAGGACTGCGTCCTGCCCTAACCAACGTGTGCTGACGTGGTCTATGATGACCGGCCGGAGTCCTGCGTCCTGCCTTAACCAAGGTGTGCTGACGTGGTCTGCGATGACCCGCCAGAAGGACTGTGTCCTGCCCTAACCAACATATGCTGATGTGGTCTGTGATGACCCGCCAGTAGGACTGCGTCCTGCCGTAACCAACATATGCTGACGTGGTCTGTGATGACCCGTCAGTAGGACTGTTGCCGGGTCATCACGGCCTCACCAACCAACCTAGGCCAGCCTGCCCTAACCAACGTAAGGTGACGTGTCTAGCGATCCCATATTCTGCCCCGTGCCCTACACCGTGTCCAGCAGTCGTGCTCTCTGCTCTACTCGACGTGTGCTGACATGGCCCGTGCTGAAGGGCCACACAGCCCTTCGCTGCGCCACCCGACGTGTCCCGCCGTGGCTCGCGGCCCGCGTGCCGCCACCATTGGTCTCGCCCCGAGTCCTGCTCTGCCGTGCCCAATACGGCCGAGAGTGGGCCCCACGCCTCACCTGGCACGTGATGACGGAGGCCGCCGCCGTGTAGTCCACGAGCGTGATGCGCTCGCCGGCTACGTACGTTGACTGCGAGAGGAACTGGTCCAGCAGCTGGAGCGAGGTGCGGCACTGTTTGATGTCCTTCGGCTCGAACCGCGTCCCGCCGACGAATATCCGCCGCATCTGAGGCAGCGGCCGACGCCGTCTGTCAGCCGGATCTGAGGCAGCGGCCGACGCCGTCTGTCAGCTGCATCTGAGGCAGCGGCCGACGCCGTTTGTCAGCCGGATCTGAGGCAGCGGCCGACGCCGTTTGTCAGCCGGATCTGAGGCAGCGGCCGACGCCGTCTGTCAGCCGGATCTGAGGCAGCGGCCGACGCCGTCTGTCAGCTGCATCTGAGGCAGCGGCCGACGCCGTCTGTCAGCTGCATCTGAGGCAGCGGCCGACGCCGTCTGTCAGCTGCATCTGAGGCAGCGGCCGACGCCGTCTGTCAGCCGGATCTGAGGCAGCGGCCGACGCCGTCTGTCAGCTGCATCTGAGGCAGCGGCCGCCGCCGCCTGTCAGCTGCATCTGAGGCAGCGGCTAACGCCGTCTGTCAGCTGCATCTGAGGCAGCGGCCGACGCCGTCTGTCAGCTGCATCTGAGGCAGCGGCTAACGCCGTCTGTCAGCTGCATCTGAGGCAGCGGCCGACGCCGTCTGTCAGCTGCATCTGGGGCAGCGGCCGCCGCCGTCTGTCAGCCGCATCTGAGGCAGCGGCCGCCGCCGTCTGTCAGCTGCAACTGAGGCAGCGGCCGACGCCGTCTGTCAGCCGCGATCTCGCTCGAGAATCGTGTCCAATACAGGCGGTGGCATGGGAGAGGTCGTTCGAGTGAAGAAAGTAATTTGTGAAAACTGCTATGGCACGTGTGGGGCAAAAGCAGTGGGTGGTAGTGAAGGTATCAGTTTATTGTTTTTCTTCGCGCCAAATGGAGGAAAAGGTCTAGTTTTAAGGCTTTCATTGTTACAAAGTTCAAAAATAATGCTGAATTCTGGAAGGAGAGACTTTGCCATGGTTAGCTTTCATGAGAATCACTTCCCTCGTAAAGCTAAATTCTGGGACACTGTTACGCCTGCTGGGGGCATATACTGAGTCGTCAGCGCGTGCCACAATCGACTGCGCTGCTAGTCACAGACGCGCGCATCTGCACGTCAGTAGTACCGCGCTGCGCGTAAGAGGGGTTCCTGCCGCCCGATCTACAGACAGTGCCGGATCTCGAGGTCGCGTCGCCGCTCTGTGGTGCACCCGTGGAGGCACGCGTCCGGAGTGCCCGCCGTGGTGACTGTGGGCTGCTGGTCGGACATTCGTCCGGGGGGGGGGGGGGACCAGCGTAGGGCGTGGCCGTTTGTCGCTGTCGTCGCCGTAGCCCGTGGACTCGGGTCTGTCGGTGTGATCAGGCCCTTTACTGGGTCGGAACGCTGGGCGAGGCTCCTGTCCAGCTGACAGCTGCGGCGAGCGGTGAAAGGAGCTGGGGCGATCCCCTGGTGTATCTCGATCAGGTAGAATTACGCATGTTTTGTAACAGTCAAGCCTTCCGCCTTGGAAGCGAACAAACGTAGGTAATCGGATTTCAGAGCACTGGATTGTAGAAGCAGCGTGCTACGACCGCTTGACTGGGTCTCACCGTTTTGGAGAAGTTTTGGAGCATGGCGTAGTCGAAGAACAAACGCTGATCGTAGAGCGCTTTCTGCTGAAGGTCGGTTGGGATCAGAGTGCTTTGTGGCGCGTACTTTGACACCAGGTATTGCCCAATGGCGCGACTGAAACAAATACAGAACACGGTTTAGGATTTGGTTGGCACAGCGGACACTTTTGATCAGGCGATGTTACCCAGCACTGGGGTTGAATGCAGTGATGTGGTAGTACGTTTCATGATACTATCTTCCGACGTCATGCCGCGTTATTTTCAAACGCGTCCCAGTTTTGGAGCGTTCTAATTCGTCCGCCGTAGAATCTTCTTAAAGCCAACATGCGTATCGGTAACCTCCGTTTGAGGTTACATGCCGTGTGTTGTCCAACATAAAGTCACACAGGTGGGGGGGGGCGGGGGGATAAGGGACACACTCCCTTAGTCCCTTGGCTCACCTCTCCCACAGCACGAAGCCGTTGTCGTTGATGGTGGGAATCGTGTGCATCGGATTCATCTGAAACTCCCCGGAACGGGTCAATCATCATCCACTGGTGCAGGTACCAGAGGGGGAGGGGCGGGGAGCAGAAGGCAACGGAAAGCCGCGCCGACCGCTCGTGTCGGCCTCCAGCGCCGGGCACGGTACTAGACGCGGCTTGCGCGACTCGGGTCGGCTGTGTCTCGCCCACGTTACTCATGGCAAACGCCACTCGTGGCCACGCGGTCGTAGTCCACACTCCAGCCAGACAAACGCACGCGGACTAGACCACGCCGCCGGCCGGCCGGTCGGGGGGAGGGGCAGACGCGCGCGCGGGTGGCGCCGTTCTGCCGCGCTCGGGCCGGCTACCTTGAGGAAGTCTGGCTTCAGGTGGTCGCCCTGGATGGGTTCGCAGGTGATGAGGTTGAACCGGACTCCCACGGCGCGGCCGATCATGCGCACCGCCCGCGACGGCGGGCTCCAGAGAGCGTGGTACAGGTCCACCGCCATCTGGAAACGCAGGCGCGCCGTGGTGGAAGCAGGCGACGGGTTGTTCGATGTCTGGACATGTTTTTCAGAACGTTGGTCGCTGCGGAGTGTTCATGAGGGCGTGCCTCGCCATGGTGTCACGGTTGTTTAACGTATAGCACGTGTCCTGTCGTAAGCCGTACTTACCGCCAACGGTCCGCATGCAGCCACATGTTTACACAGCTGCACATGTTATGAATTTTCCTGATGTTGAAACGGCTGAAGTTAAACAGACTGGGTGGATCTGCATACTGCCAGGGAAAATCCCATTTAGTTACAATGCGTGCGCACACCAAGAGCTTGACGTTACAGTGCCGTTAAAATCAAGAGACCAGTCTCCTCGTGTTATTGGCTCGCGCATAAGCGCCATTTTTCACTTCATGACGCATCCTTACCTTTCCTGAAGAGCCCATGAAGGTGTTGCGCGGCACCTCAGCCCTCCCCGAGGTCCCGCCGCCCACCGTTGGCTCGAGCCGATACGACAGTCGGTTGGTGCTGCGTGGTCAGCTGATGGTGCCGGCATTCCGTGCAGCGCTACCGGCTGGCCCGGTATTCAGCATGGACACCGCTCGGTCGGGAACCGGGGAGATCAGACGGATCGGACCATGACGTCGGACCTGGCCAGCACCACGCATGGCCCACTGGTGTCGTTTCCTAGTCAGAAGGGGAGGGCTCTTCAGCTCCTCCTAAAATGTGAGAGGGAAGTTGGACGTATCGGGGAAGAAACCCATGTTTTATTGTATTTTGCGGTAGGTCCAACCACCTTTCCCTGCCTCGCATATTATGAACATCTCGAGCACCACGAACCTGAATATAACCTGTAAGCGTTTACTTCAGTCATTGGATGGCTTCCATTAGCTTCTCATACCATACTTCTGTAAACGTGCTTCTGTAAACGTCGCCGGAAAATTATAAATACGACACTTTCGGGGCGGCAAGCGAGCGTCTAGTATCGCCTGCTTTCTCGCGGCAACTGAGAGACGCAGCTGAGTCCAGGTAGCGTTCTCGGATGTTGCCGTGCGTTCTCAGATCACGCCTGTCTTTGATCAAGTTGCGCCAGGCGACTGGCAAGGGCGGTGCTACTGGGCCGGCTCCGCCCGACGGTTATGTGCTGTGGTCCTCATCGTACAGCAGCTGCCCTTTTCAGCGTTCTCACTGGTTCTTGCATCATCTTCAGTGCGAACAGCAGAACTGAAATGAAGCGCACGAGGCACGTAGTTCAAAAATTTTGTCTTTTTTTGCCAAGGCGCAAGTTAGCTGGTCGAAGCTAGCATCAACGTCACACTTTTAACGTATTTAACAACACGACACCACCACACACACCACACCACACACACACACACCCACACACACACAACACACCCACACCACACACACACACACCACACCACGCACGCACGCACGCACGCACGCACTCACGCACGCACCAACTCACGCCCACCACACACCACAGCCACCCACTCACGCACGCACGCACGCACTCACGCACGCACTCGCACTCACGCACGCACGCACGCACGCACGCACGCAACGCACGCACGCACGCCCCCACCACACACACACACACACACACACAACACCACGCACCACCACACGCACGCACGCACGCACGCACGCACGCACATTCCGATGACGTTCGTACACAGACAGCACCAAGTTCGTCAGCGTGTGTGCATCAATGTCCGCCACCAAGCCTCGCCTGTGCCGCCGACGTCCCCTCTGTGACCCCCCCCCCCCCCTCCCCCCATGGTCCGCCAGATCTCCGCCTGGAAGAAGTACATCGCCTGGGAGAAGGGTAACCCGCTGCGCACGGAGGACATGAGCCTGTGGACGCGGCGCGTGACGTACGCGTTCGAGCAGTGCCTGCTGTGCCTGGGCCATCATCCGGATGTGTGGCACGAGTACGCCGTCTTCCTGCAGGAGGCTGCCCAGCTCATGACGGACAAGGGGGTGAGCCGGCACTGGGGGGAGGGGCAACAGACAGCGTGCGGTGGGCTGAGGGGAGGATATTTGGTGGTGGCGGAGCTGCGGCGGTGTGTTGGGTGTGGTTTTGGAACTGGACGCGTTGCATCATGGGTAAACATCCCGCAGCTTACATGCTTCCCTGCGCCGAGGGCGGCGCTCTTTACCACGCGTGTTTTGTAGCTCATGCCTCCCACAGTCTCAAGCGTACTGCCTCCCGAAAACCACCACCGGTCGTAACTCTCTTCCGCATGGACACCACCGCTTTCGAAACCCTACCCGGTGGCCCCCTCTGTGTGAGGGCGTCGGCGGTTCCGAGACTTGACGGACCTCCTCGCCTCGGGCCGCGGCCAGGATGTGAACGGCGCCAAGCTGATCTCGGACGACATCGCGACCGTGTTCGAGCGCGCCACCCAGGGGCCAATGCGGCGCTGCATGCTCATCTACTTCGCCTACGCCGACTTCGAGGAGACGCGCATGAGCAACGAGAAGGTGCACAAGATCTACAGCAGCCTGATCGACGTGGAGGACATCGACCCGACGTTGGTGAGTGGTGCCGCCCGCGTCCGATGTCGCCCTCGGGTGGCGGCGATGTCATCTCAGCCGATGTTTTCCCCGGAGAATGCTGGAGTTTGGAGCCAGGTCTATAGCCGGATTGACAAGGCAGCCGGCTTCACCGAAAGGCTGACTGTCAGATAGGTTTTGGTAGTCGGTTGTGCCCAGCTGCTGTTGATGTGACGTGCGTGTTGCGTGTTGATTTTTGAAGCGCGTGGATGTGTGACATGGATGTGGACATAATTGGTATCATTTTTTACGTTCCGTAAAATGTACGGTCATGGGTGCTTTCAATCATTTGCTCACTTCCACTGTGCCCATCACATAAATCCATGGAGTGCAGTGCCGCTTCTCCGTTTCACAGGCGCCCGCTGTAGATTTTTGCGTCTCCGTGTTGGGGGTGTGCTCTGTTCACCCGTGTCCCTGCCCCACCGCAGGGCTACATCCAGTACATGAAGTTCGCGCGCCGCGCCGAGGGCATCCAGTCGGCGCGCAAGGTGTTCAAGAAGGCGCGCGAGGACAAGCGCTCGCGCCACCACATGTACGTGTCGGCGGCGCTCACCGAGTATTACTGCAGCAAAAACAAGGAGGTCGCCTTCAAGGTGTTTGAGCTGGGCCTGAAGAAGTTCGGGGACAGCACCCAGTACATCCTGTGCTACATCGACTACCTGTCCCATCTGAATGGTCAGTGACCGCGGCGGAGGCAGGCCTCGTCTGAAGTGACTGGCGCTCGGCGGGCAGTGTTAGAGCACGCGGCGTGTTGGGCCGCGTTTGGAAGGCTCGAGTTCAAATCCTGTGCGTGGCGAGAACATTTTACTGGACTCTGCGAAGTTGTGGCAACCCGCGTTTGGGCCTGCCAAGATGATGAGCAAAGATATCGCCTGTGTGTGAGGTACTGCACTGATCGTTAGGATGAAGGTGCTTGAGATGACTGATCTGAGAGACTGGAGCAGTCATGAATGGAGTACATGCTGGAACCTTGGGGAGGCTGATGGGGAGGCCACCACGCCTACTGTCCCGTAAGGCGTGGTGGTAGTCCATGCCCCCCTGCACCAGCTGGTTGTACCAATAGTTTGACTTCTCGGCGCCCCCCCCCCCCCTCCCCCGACTTTGTGACATAGTGTTTGTGCCCTCCTGCGGTGCGTCCGTCGTCCCTCCCGCTGCGGAAGCAGGGGCTGACCCAGGCCCCTGCCTGCCGTTGACCCGGCTGACCCGGCGTCTCATCTCGGCCCGCAGAGGACAACAACACGCGCGTGCTGTTCGAGCGCGTACTCAGCTCTGGCATGCTGGATGAGCTCAGCTCTGTGTAAGTTGGGAACAGGGGAAGGAGGGTATGGGGAGGGCTGGCTCCGCGGCGTGCGTACGAGATGGAAATCGCAGTGGACCCGTCTGTGTGAGCCAATCCCCTGGGAGGATTTTTTTTATTTGAAGCAGTGTTTGTATTTCACGTCACGGCCGTACTGGCCATGGACCAGTCTGGTCGAACTTTGTTTTAGATGGTCGAGGGCTGACATGCAATCATCCCAGGAGTTTAAGCTCTGCTGTACCATAACCATTATTTTGATTTTCACGTTAGTTCTTTTCACCGATTCATAAGTTTTACGATACCCTGCGGCATTGCCTTATGCAGTGTAATGTGATGGAGCACTGTTGCAATCCAGGCACATATGAGATCCTGAGCAGTGTTGCAGAAATACGCGCAATATCCGTGATTGCGTACGTGGGCGCGGTGCCCGGACCACACGGCGTCGGCGGCCGTCAGCACCGCCTCACGCCCCTCCGTCGGCAGGGAGGTGTGGAATCGCTTCATGGAGTTCGAGTGCAACATCGGCGACCTCACAAGCATCGTCAAGGTGGAGAAGCGGCGCACCGCCATCTTACATCAGGTGACGCGTCAGCCGGCTGGCCGCCGGCATGCGTTTCGGTCGTGTGGGCTCTGGGGCAGGCCTCGGCCGGGTTTCGCGCGATGAGAGGTGCTCTGGAGCATGCAGCGCGTGCCGTTAGTGATGTATTACGGTGTCTTGTTTTGCCACGGAAGCCTTTGATGCCAGTCTACACAATCTCTGGCGTGCAGAGCAGCGTAATCTTATTGGTAGTTGTCCCTGTGTGATGTATGGTGGATATGGCTTCTCGGCTTCCTCCATTGTCAAAACAGAGATTGCCAAACCGTTGACGAGCCGATACAGCTTGTCGACGTGTCTCGCGTCTAGTTACAGTTGCGGTAATGCCACACAAACCTGTGTGTGCACGTTTTGAGGGCTTTGTTGTAATGTAGTCCTGTGCTGTGGCATGCCTAAATGACTTCGCTGGAACGTTGTTGCCGTCGTGTTCGTCGAATCTCTGGGTCTTGCCCGCCACTCCCGTTTGCTCCGTTTTGTCTGGATGATGGGGTTACGTTGTGTTACTGTGTGACGACACCGCTTGCGCCTCTCGCCGTATCCTGCGGGCCCGGCGTTGGGCCAGGTTCTGGTGTTTCGAACCCCGCCCTGCTACTGTGGAGCCGATGCTGTGCTGCCGTCCCGCGGTACACCCCTCACCGTTGGACAGGCATGGCCTGTGATGTGCTACCCGCCTGCCTCCCGTCCCGTCCTCCCTTCCCTGGGCATGCCACTCAGCAGTGATTGTTATAGTTGGGTGGAGCGCCCTGGTTTCATGAGAGAAAGCCTTATTAACGGGTGTGGTTTTGTCTGGTCTGTCCCCCTAACGTTTCTGGGCTGGCCATTGTCCAGTCTGTCTGAATGTATCGACGTTCCCGGCGTGTCTTCATCCGTTTGGTTTAGCCCGTGTCCGGTTTAGTCTGCGGCCTGCCTGCGGCTGTGATTTACCGGAGCCGTGGTGGTCTGTCCAGTCTGGTGTGCATGTGGTCTGGTCTTGAGCCGGGCCCGTCCCTGACCGGTGGCCGTCGCCGCAGCTGCGGGAGTACGAGGGCAAGGAGACAGCGCTGTTGGTGGACCGCTACCGCTTCCTGGACCTGTACCCCTGCAGTCGGCAGGAGCTTAGGTGAGGTGACGGGCTGGCCGGGCGCCGCTCTGTGGTCTCAACCCGGTGCACGCGGGCGGGTTGTGGGACACTGTAACCTAGGCTGCCAACTACTGGGCAGTGACCGTCCGTTGTGGTTTTAGTTTCAGTTTCTTTTGAGTTTTCTTGTAGGACTGCCTTTTAGCGATGTTGGCAACATGTGGAAACCAAACCGGGATGAGCTGCTGGTCCGCCAGCTCGCATGACGCGGATGAACTGCTGGTCCGCCAGCTCGCATGACACGGATGAACTGCTGGTCCGCCAGCTCACATAACACGGATGAACTGCTGGTCTGCCAGCTCGCATGCGGCCTGTTCTTCCGTCGGCAGGCTGTGGTCCGCTGTCTCTCATTGCTGTGGTTATTCTCATAATTTTTTAATCTGAAGCAGGCCAGATCTGTTGAGTCTTTTTTCTTGGTTTGTGATGGCCTGTGCTCAGTTCTGGCCGTAGGTTGCGTCATATAACGATCACCCAGTGTCCAGTACTTTTTAGCGAAACTGCCCTTTTGCGTGTCATCTGACGCCATTTCGTCCGGACGGTTGGGACGAAACCGCGGCCGTGACTAGAAACCGCCTGTTCGTTCTGACAGAGAAATTACTGCATGCCGTAGAGGTGTGTCTTTAATTGAACGAAATCAAACATGTTATTTGTGGACACACTGTCTGGGCATTTCCCTTCCCCTGTGTGCGACCCATAACGTAACCCGTGACTCTGCACCGTGACCAACGACCTGACTTGTGACCCCGCACCGCGACCCCTGACCTAGCCCGTGATCCCGCACCACCAGGGCCATCGGCTACCAGCCTCGGTTCAGCACAACGAGCTCAGCGGCGGCGGTCGGCAGCGGTGCCGCTGACTGCGTCCCTGGCGACGACGAGAAGAAGCTGCCGCGACCAGACTTCGCTCAGATGGTGCCGTACAAGCCGAAACAGTACTGGGTGCCCGGCGAACACCCCATTCCTGGTGAGCTCCTGTGTGGGGACAGCTGGTGCCCGTGCTCAGGTGGCGTCACTGTTTGCTCTGTGCAGCCGCTGGGCTGTTCTGGCTGGGAGTGTAGTAAACATTCTGGCATACGCTGTGACGAGAGTACGCTTACAGCGAAGGGCTGGAAAGGTTAGACACAATCTGATGTGCGGAAGTACCCACGAGCAGTGCAGTTTTCTTTTAGGCCCACAGAATGACAGCATTTTGCATGCGTTTTTGCACTGATTTCCCATGCGTTTTTGAACCTTGTACTTATTTCGGATTAATTGCTCCGTTCAGGCCTTCTTGGGAAGAACGTGATCCTTACTGATATGAGAGTCTGTCAGGTGTTTTTGTGGGAATGTGCCCGGACTAAGAGATATCTGGACCGGGACCCCGATACCCTTCTATACGCTGTAGACGCAATATCCCCCACGCGTGGTGTTCGAACTTGCCGGTCAGAATATGTGCGTCATGTTACTCACCCGCTGGGCGTGTTCTGTGTAACTAGGGCGCGCCTCATGTGTCTGCCCCGCCTGGCCAGACTGCGGCTGTTTCGAAACGGCCCCTTCGTGTGTCTGCCCCGCCTAGCCAGACCGCGGCTGCTTCGAGACGTCGGCCTTATGTGTCTGCCCGCCTGGCCAGACTGCGGCTGCTTCGAAACGACGCCCTCATGTGCCTGCCCGTCTGGCCAGACTGCGGCTGCTTCGAAACGACGCTCGGTTCGGTCGGCTCGGTCCCGTCTGAAGGGTGCGCGTGCCTGGGACGTGTGGCGGCCTCCCTCAGCCCCGCGCCATCTGACTGGCACGCGTGTGCATCGCAGGCGGTGGGTTCCCGCTGCCACCGGCCGCGTACGCGCTCTGTCAGATGATGCCGCCGCCGCGCTGCTTCCACGGCCCCTTCGTCGGCGTGGACGCCCTGCTGGCGATCTTCGAGAAGCTGGAGCTGCCGGACAGCGGTCAGTGGACCCGGACGTGCGCGCGCGCGCGGAGAGGACAGACGCGCGATGGTCTGGCATGGGCCCGCCTCCATACGAGTATCGCTGTGCTGACAGGCATAAGAATTGACGTGACGAATGTCAGTTGCCTCTTGGTGCTTGTCAGTCAGCGCTGTATACAGCATGTTCCTACTCCGATGGTATCTACCCCGAATGTTGCAACAGGTGGTTTTTTGTGAGCAAACGTTGTCTACATCGGGATGGTGTAGAAATTAAAATGCTTCGAAGTCTACGCCGGCCTAGACGAGGCTGGGTTAAGATTAGCTAAATGCCTGCAGTGACCGAATGTCGCGTCGCATTCCAGTTCCATGCGTCTGATGTGTTCAGTAGGTTTTCATTTCGTCCGAATTAAAGCTATTGCGGTTATTGATGATCCGTTCAGGGATATGTGATGAAGGACAGTGGATAATGGTCGATCAGACCTACACGTTTCTGGGGGTCCATCTGCCGAGACTTGACCCGCAAAGGGCCCCTCTTCGGGTTTGTGCTCGGCGCTCTCACGGGGCCTCCGCCAGGGGGCATAAACGCACACTCACGGAGCTTTTCCCGGACAAACTGTGCGTTGCGAGGATGCAGGATAAAGCGAACGTCAGGAAATATTGGCGGATTCGTTCGGTATTCGACATTTGCTTGGCGTTTTGAGCTCTTGGCGCGTGTCGCTGACGGCGACGTCCGCGTACTCCGCAGCGCCCGAGCCGGGCGGCGCCAACGGCCAGAGCGCCTCCCAGTTCGAAATGGCCAAGTCCATACACTGGATCGTCGACCGAGACAGCGATAAGCGCGTCAGGAAGCGCGCCAACGACTCTGACGACGACGACATGCAGGCGCCGCCCGCCAACGACATCTACCGGCAACGCCAGCAGAAGCGCGTCAAGTGAGAGCCATCCAACGGCCGCGGAAAATGGCAGTGGTTGTACAAAGGTCCGGTAGAGGGCTCGTCGGGAGGCGCTGTGCTGGCAGGTCGGCGGCGAGCAGGGCGTGTCGTGGTCGCATTGCAGGAGTGATGCAGTTCGCCCGGTCGCCATGTGTGAGAGCTCGCTACGTGCCGGAGCTCGTGCGCGCTTGAACGCCGCCGAGGCGGCACGGGCCTTGTTCAAAAGAGCGGGCTTTCGTCCCCCGCGCCGCCCCCACGCTGCGACAAGCGCCGTTGGACCGCCCGTGGATGTCGGGCGCCGTTTTATCGCGCATTGCATTCTGGTGGTCTTTGCACCGCGGCCGGCTGGCCGAACGCTGCCCATTGTGTCGGTGTAGCTGCTGACTAGGATGCAATACACGGCGCTTTAGGTTCGGCGTGTCTCTCTGCAGCTGCCAGTGGGCGCATGGTCGCCCGTCCACATGGTCGACTCCTTGCGGTCATTCCCCATGGCAGAGTGGACGCGCACGGCGGCGGCGAGCGGCCAGTCGGCTCAGCAGGCCACGCTCACTGGTCGGTTGGCGGCCGACCCAGCCGGCGACGGCGACAGCAGTGTCCCACTGTGCGCGGCGGGTCCGGCTGTTAAGCGCGTGGCCCTGGACAGCCGCGTGTCCTGACAGCTTTGATCTTGGCCAGAGGGAAAGCGACGGTGTGGGCGCGAGCCGAGGTGGCCCATTTATTACAGGAGATCTGTTCGCGTGCCCCATAGCAATAATGGCTCGATGCTAGCGATAACAACGGCCGATAACGCTCCTTCGAAACAACGGCCCGTAACGTTCGCACGAGACAAGGGTCTGTAACGCTCGCACGAGGCAAGGGTCCGTAACGCTCCCCCGAAACAATGGCCCGTAACGCTCGCACGAAATAACGGCCCATAACGCTCGCACGAAACAACGGCCCATAACGCTCGCACGAAACAACGGCCCATAACGCTAGCACGAAACAACGGCCCATAACGCCCCCCCCCAAAAAAAAAACAAAAAAAACGGCCCATAACGCTCGCACAAGGCAAGGGCCCGTAACGCTCCTACATAGCAACGGCCCGTAGCGCTCGCACGAGACAAGGGCCCGTAACGCTCGCACGAGACAAGGGCCCGTAACGCTCGCACGGAACAAGGGCCAGTAACGCTTGCACGAAACAACGGCCCGTAGCGCTTCTACATAGCAACGGCCCGTAACGCTCGCACGAGACAAGGGCCCGTAACGCTTGCCCGGAACAAGGGCCCGTAACGCTTGCACGAAACAACGGCCCGTAGCGCTCCTACATAGCAACAGCCTGTAACGCTCGCACGAGATAAGGGCCCGTGACGCTCGCACGAGACAAGGGCCCGTGACGCTCGCACGAGACAAGGGCCCGTGACGCTCGCACGAGACAAGGGCCCGTGACGCTCGCACGAGACAAGGGCCCGTGACGCTCGCACGAGACAAGGGCCCGTGACGCTCGCACGGGACAAGGGCCCGTGACGCTCGCACGGGACAAGGGCCCGTGAAGCTCTGGCGTAGCCAATAACGTCAAATCTTAACGCGCCCTAACCTTAAATACCGCACGTAACCACGCGATGGAAAGCTCAAAAGACACCAAGCCCCGTTGTCCTCAGGCGGTGTCCAGCGGGTTCGGTGCGCTCCCCTGCACAGCCGGCTGGAACTGCTCCGCCCTCCGAGCGCTGCTCGCCCCGCGCAGCACAGCTTCCGAGCGCTCCGACCAACGGGCGTGGATGCGCCAACTTGCCATCGACCCTCACGCGGTCAAGCGCCTCTGCGTAACATGCAGTGTCGACGTCCCTTCACGAAATGGTCGGATGTGCGTGTCCCGCGTCGGGGTCCCAGGTTAGGTCAGGTCACGTCAGGTCTGGTGCTCGTCGCCCGTTCGGTCACCCCCTCCTCTCGTCCGTCTGGGCATTGCTGCGTCTGTTTCCTCGCACTTTGCCCACGCCAGTGCTGTCGCACATGTCCCTCGTCTGTTTGATCACATGTTGCTCTGGTGCCAACAAATCGTCCGTCGTTTTTCACGTCGCTTGCGTCTCACTGCTCCAGTGTCTCGTAAGGCACTTCACTTGTCAGCTATGCTAGACACTGTCCCTTCTGTTTCTCGGCGCTATGCTGTCTGCCTTCGGCCCAGTCCCGTTTGTCCCATCCTCCGGTGCTGTTCCATTTGTCCCCGGTGCTGTCCCGTCTGTCCCGGTCTGCCCCGTCTGTCCCGGTGCTGCCCCACCGATCCGCGGTGCTGTCCCGTATGTCCCTGGTGCCGTCCGTGTGCAGTGCCGTCCCGTCTGTTTCCGATGCTGTCCCGTTTTTCTTCGGTGCTATCCCGTCTGTCCCGGTCTGTCCCGTATGTCCCATCTGTCCCGGTCCTGTCCCGTCGATCCGCGGTGCTGTCCCGTCTGTCCGCGGTGCTGTCCCGTCTGTCCGCGGGGCTGTCCCGTCTGTCCGCGGCGCTGTCCCGTCTGTCCGCGGTGCTGTCCCGTCTGTCCGCGACGCTGTCCCGTCTGTCCACGGTGCTGTCCCGTCTGTCCGCGTGCTATCCCGTCTGCCGTCGTCGACGGCCTCACGTCCGTGCGGCGCCGGCGCGGCAGCGGCGGCCGATGGCTCGACAGACGCGCTGGCGTCGCAGCCGGTCGAGCGGTTGCTCGGCCAGCTGCAGCTGCCGCAGCTGGCCGACCAGGTCGCGGAGCCGCGGCACCGTCCTCCAGACGCCGTCCGACGGGGGAACCTGCGGCGCGATGGGCTGGACGTCAGGCGGGCACGGATGGAGCGAACAGCGGTCCGATGCGCCGAAAAGCGGAGGGTCGGGCAGTGCGGACGGTCGGGGACAGAACAGAGTGGGGAGTTCGGCATTGAACGCAACTGACAGCGGATGCAAGACAAACATGCAGCCAGGTGCTTTACGGGGCGTACAACAAAGCTGTAGACTGTAAGAAAAGTGAGGCAGCCAGACACTGGATAGCGCGATAGGACAGAGATGGGGAGAACCGGACAGCCGTGCGCGGGATAGAACGGACAGCCGAAACGGGATTAGGTAGGCAGCCGTACACTGGACAGAACGAATAGCCTGGATACGGGACAGAACAGACAGCCGGACACGGAACAGACGGCGGCAGACTGCTGGACAGAACGGCTAGCCGTGCGCAGAGTGCAGCGCGCAGTCAGGCACAGCATAGCGCGGGAAGCTGGGCATGGAACACGGGGCGGACAGCGGGACACGAGACAGAACGGACGACCTGATAGCGGGACGCGAAACAGCACGGACGACCTGACAGCGGGATACGGGACAGCACGGACGACCTGACAGCGGGATACGGGACAGGACTGACGACCTGACAGCGGGATACGGGACAGGACTGACGACCTGACAGCGAGATACGGCACGGAACAGACAGCGGAATGCGCCACCGAGGGACAGTCAACATTGGGATACGGGACAGACCAAACAAGCAGACATGGGATCGACACGGCAGACAGCCAGACACGGGACGGACCGGGCGACCGGACAGGTGCACCGAGCGCCCCGGTAAGCCAGACAGCAGGACCGGAACCGTTTGATTTGGACATCGGGACGTGGAACGGTCGCGCACATGCCGTCGCCAACTGGCATTCCGCACGCGGTCGGACCGGGCGTTCGTGTGCAGGAAGTCTGGTCACTGGCGGACGCCAGAACGAACATCTGGGTAGGAAACACGGGCGACCGACAGAGCAGCCATCCCAACACGGTCGGGATGGGAAGCCAAACACTGCTGGGAGTGTGACGGGCACTGGACCCACTCAACGGTAAACACGGTCACTGGCAGCCGTCGCGGTAAGGAAGGCCACTGGAACACATCATGTCAGCGTGGAGGCCGGAGCGCACACCGGACAATCAGTGCTACGCGATGAACAGGCCGCCGGCGCAACCCGCATCAGCCTCCCCCCCCCCCCCCCCCCCCCCCCCCCATACATACACACACACACTGTCGGATCAAGTCTGAGGCAGTCCGAGCACGGTGTGGAAAGTGGAGCCGGTGCCGGACTCGACCTCAAGCCGCAGACGGATTGGGGTCCGGGGCCGGAGCCGGACCGGACCGGACCGGACCGGACCGGACGCGTGCCAGCACTAGTTTCCGGTCGGCGGGAGGCGAAAGCTGACACTCCGGTCGGCCGCGGCGGAGCCCCCGGAAGCCCGCTGGTACGGCCAATCGGCGATGTGCGCGGCTGGGTCCGACTGGATGGCTGGGCCAGGGGATCATGCAAATCTGGGGATCGACGGGTCAGGGCCAAGGGTGTAAAACAGTCACGAAAAAATGCGATGCCAAAACTCTCCGAGTCTAATGCATCCATACAGTATCACACAGCATGGGGTTCGTGTTCAACTAACTCGGCAGGGGGACGAGAAACACTCCTGCTGTTTCTCCTTCCGTGTTTGCCCATTATACCCATCCCGATGAAACAAATAACTCTTAATCAGAACAGTCGCGGTGTGAAGTTTGGCATAATGCAGGGCTGGCAGATAGTTTAAACGGATTGGTTCTACGGAACAGTTTTGCATCTTCATGAGTTCTTGAACGGAACGGCAAGTACGATCCTTATCAGCTTTTCCACCCCGACGCTCTCTTCGACCTCGATGAATGCGGAACGATGAAAACATTGTCACTTAACATGACGAAGGAGGGCCCGGATCGCTGCGTTGTGACGCTTGCACGCGGTAGTGGCACCACCTAACATCCACCATAGGGTCGATGCTGAACGCTTGCACGCGGTAGTGGCACCACCTAACACCTACCATAGGGTCGATGCTGAACGCTTGCACGCGGTAGTGGTACCGCCTAACACCTACCATAGGGTCGATACTGAACGCTTGCACGCGGTAGTGGCACCACCTAACACCTACCATAGGGTCGATACTGCGCGGTGTATAAAGACGTAGCATGCATGCTATGGCCACAATTTTCCAAGAATACTGTGGCTCAAAGGGCGAAATGCACTAAACGGTAAGGTAGAAAATGGTATCAAACACCGGGACTTTTCGCGCAACAACTAATGACCTTGTTGAATATGGCCTAGATAGACAGTTGTGGCCTTGATAGTTGAATGGCCTCAGTTCCTTTAGTGTTGCCGCAGAAACTGCGAACAGGTGACGCACTTCGCGACGTCAGTTTTCAACAGACGGGCCCGAGTCCACGAATGTGATTCCGAGTCTGAGCCCGGCTCAGAGCGTTTGAATCCTGAGTCAGAGTATCGAGTCCGTCCTTGGTACGCGACATCATTCTGAGGGCTCGAGTTTGACCCGTTCTCACGGCGCCTGGGTCCAAGTCTCAGCGAATTGAGTCCGAGGGAATGGGCACGAGTCCTTAAGTATGGAGTTAACATCCACCATCCCTTTTTACACGATCGTGAGGAATCAGGGTTTGTGTAGGGCTGCCATGATAGAAATCGTCGCTGATACAATGGTAAAGGCAGTTAGTCAATCTAACCAAATCTGACTCATGCCCAGCCCAGTCTAATCCAGTCAAGTCAATTTTCCTTACGACTTGCGAAGCAAGCGTTAGCATGCAGGCTGATATGGGCTTATTGCGTGTACTGTCACTAAAAGAGGTTTTTATAGGTCATATGTTTGGTCAAAAGCGTGCCCAAACGAACCAATAGTCGAGCTTGAATGGAAGTCGAGGTACTTGATTAGAAGCTGCGATCATGTGTGACTTGTGGCAAGTGCTACGCTACTAACCCAGAAATATGATGGCAAGCAATCAGGAGCCCACTTCTACTCAGGCTGCTGTTGGTCTAAGCTTGTCTTTCACCTTGGTGGGAGGTGGAGTCCGAACCTGAGTAAAACCTGATTGGTGTTGGCTCACGCCTGAGTCAGAGACAGGAACCAGCTGGTGTTTATAGGTCTGGGCTTGAGATCACAGCTCTTTTAGTTCGTTGATTCCCATTTCGACTCACCTGTGGAAGGAGGTGACCGACTTCTGAACCCTTTCCTCATTTTTGTAAGGATTTATGCTTAATTTCCCCAGCTATTCGATTTTGGGAGGCAGTGATTTGTTGACTTGTGCAGGCCCACACGACATCTTTCAAACCAAGATTCCACTATCGTACATAAACTGAAACTGCCCAACACTTTGGGTCAAATGTGATCAAAGTTTAAATGCACCAACATCCACTGTACCGGTGTAAGTGTGACGGGTTTCCTGTGGCTGCGTCCGTACCCCGCGCTGCTAATGGCCCGTCGCTGGATGTGTGCGCGCCGCCGGCCGCAGCTATCACGCCTCCCCTCAGGAGCGCATTCATACTGAGGAGCCCATTGGTCGGCATGCGAGCCACATGATGTAAGCGCACGACTTGGCACACTGTGACTCCAGTACACTCGACATCAACACACACGAGTGAGCCGCAGAGCTAGGATCATCAGTACGCGGGTGACCGGAGCATTGGCGAGATGGTACGTCCAGTCAGGCACCATGGACGGCTGTCTCCCGTACCTGACTGTGCGTCCTTAATCACAGTGTTCCACTTCCACCTTTAAGATGATGATGATGTTGAAACGGGACGAAGACGGAACCAGATGCATTGATAATACGCCCAACTTAACAGGGATCCCACGCAACCGGCGAACTACATTGGCAAGGGGGCCCACTGGGCAACAAATCTGGGAGACCCCCCCCCCCTTGCTCGGCTGTAATTAATCCACAAAGACTTCATGTATTCGGCGCCCGACCATACTCACTCCAAGCAGACGCATCTGCTGGTGCTCACGTCACCCTACTCATTCTTGGCTCGCACACGGGTGGACCTCCCCTCGTCTTATTCAGCGTCTTAGCATTAGCACTGGCATGTCTGTGCGTGTCTTCGGTAAGCTAAATTAAACTTATTCAACGCATTTTAAACTTCTAGTAAAGCTACATGCATGCCTCATTTAAAGCATGTCAGGTTGATTTATCAGACTGGGTTGGGCATCGGGTGTCCGAAGCTGGACGAAGACTGGTTCCCTTGCCTGACCTCCCGGGTGACGGGTCCCTATTCGGACGGCGCTCCCTGCGTCTCATCCATGGCGAGGCAGCCCACCATTTCTTCGGCCACGCCCACCGCTCGAAGCTTTCCGCTGCCGCGCATGCACCTTAGGCAGCGCCTTGTCCAGCACGGAGGTGTCGCCTCTGGCACTTCTGCGTCCCCGCTTCCCGCCTACCGGAGTGAGCTTCGCAAGGCATCGTCCGCGGCGCGTTCTTCAGAGGCCTGGAGGTAGGCAACGCGCCCGATCGGACGGTGGAGCTCCTCCCCCCCCCCCCCCCACCCCCACCCCGACAGACAGCGAGCGCCCGGTGTGACCTGCGTTCACGCCTTACTGTCTCCACGGTCGGCGCGCTCTGGAGACTCGGCCTGACCGGCCTGTCCGGCGACCCGGTCCCTTGTCGCCCTTCCTACGAGCGTCGATGGCATGATCTCCATCTGTCACGAACATCTCACTATAAAGAGCTCAAAAGGCCTCGAGCACACCAAGTTGGAATAGAAGAGGCTGTGTCCTGTTCTCTCCCAAAGCATTGTACAACGGATAGACCCAGCTACCGCCGTGCATAATCCGGCATCCCGGGCAGTCCCCACTGTTCCTCAGTCATACCATGACCCACGTCCTTCCTCAGTCATACCATGACCCACGCCCCTCCATGCCGTCACGCCTGAGGTCAAGCGAAAGACAATGAAACAAGTCGACGGTTTCTTAGTCCCAAAGACGAGTGAAACTGCGCCTTTGAGTCGCGCTACCCACAAGCATTTATCTGCGTAAAAGCCGGACTACGGTCGTCTGACTCCTCAATCCTGTCGTGGTCAAGCCGCGCTGCTCGGGCGCGTTCTGCGCCTGTCATCCTTCGGTTACGGTCCCTATATGGTTCGATCCTGGGGAAAGGACGGCGTGTTGCATATCGTATCGGCGTATTGCGTATCGGACGGAAGTCTGACCGTCCGGCGGGAGCTGACCCCGTCGATTCCAAGGCAAGTGCTCCGCTTAAACAAGGCAATCGACAAACAAACAAAAAAGAAAGCAAAATACGGGCGCACGAACGTCATGCAAAATCAGTTAATAAATCGCTCCGGACGAGCGATAAAGTACAGGGTGAAGACAGCGCGTGTGATGGGATCCGTCCGCGTGCGCTGCGTGGGGTTCGGCAAAGGTTCGGCCGGCCCGAGCAATCGAAAAAATTAAGAGAAAGAGAAAAGTCAAACCATCCATGTTTCCAACAGACTAACGCATAGCAAAAAAAAAACATTCATGGATATGGCGCCGTGGCCCGTACGCCGCGCCTGACTACGACGCGGGATAGGCGAGGGCGACGACGAGCCGCTGCGCCTCCACGTGGTCGCCTCCAACGGCAAAATCAAGATAGCCTCGGCGAGGGCTAACGGGCGAGCCGTCGCGCCGAAGCACGTGTCAGGGGCCTCGGATCCCATGTCATCCAACGCCGGGCGCGAGTGCTCTTTCGCCGCCAGACCAACGCACTTCCAGTCTCGCCTCTACGCTAAACCATTAAAACGCAGGCCGTCAAATTCATTTACAAAAAAATCCCTCACACATATTGACACACTAGTCATCGCTGCACGCGGGCCCAGCGCCGAAACGTGTGATGCTTAAACTCCCCCCCCCCCCCCCCCCCCACACCTTAATTATGGGAGTGCGCACGAAACACAGCGTCAGGCGGGGAGGGTCGCATGGTCAGTGACCCCCTCCCCCTTTCCCCAACTACATGGGAGGGAACAGGTATCCTTGGCCCGGCCCGCGCCCGCCCGGTGGGGAGGGGTCAGAGGGCATGTTTGGAGCGCCAGCCGTCCAATGGTCCGGTAAGGATGGGGAGACAACAGCCTGTAGACTCAGACGTGCGTGTTGTGGCCGATGTTCTGTTGTCTGCGGGCCAGACGTCGTCGCCGGGTGATGGGCGGCGGGGACGCCTTGTCCTCGAGGAACGGCTGTCGGCTCGACGCGTCCTCCCCAGTCTGCCCCCGGGATCCCCGGTCTGCTCCGGTCTCTCCCTACTGCTAGCCCCTCACTTGGAACTGCATGGTTGACTGCTTCTGGTGGTGTTTTGCTGGTAGGTGTCTTTCAACTGGGTCGGCCCGCCCTCGTTACCTCACAGTCCAATAGTTTTCTCGCAAAGTCCCCTCCATCCTCTGTGTTGCCGGGCCGGCCTGCGCTGCTGCCAGGGCTCAGCCCCCAATGTGCCCCTGGGCCAGATCCAGGTCGCACGTGGCGCGGCGCTTCCGAAGCCAGCTGGAGCGAGGGCGGCGCGCGTCCCACGCTAGCGCGGCAGGTTCGTTGGGGCGGGGCGCGCAAACATTTTCACACCATATAGATAAGACAGTTGTAATAGCCTTATTCCTCCCAGAAAAAACAACAAAGGGGATATAGATGCATTGATATTTCGGTAACGTGCCTTTACTGAAACGAATAGCAGAAGTAAATTTCAATAGTAAATAGTAGTAGTAGATAAGAATTTACTGCAGCCATTCGTCTCGACAATGGTTGCCGAAATATCGACGCATCTACATCTCTGTACATGGTTTGTTCTGCGAGGAAGATGGCCATTTCTGCTGTCCTATTGATATGCATAATGTTCCTCGCATATGCACTTAACAACTTACGTAATCTTCACAAAATGCCAAACAGACATCCCTGCGCACATGTTGTTTCGCCGGTAATCTGGCTTTCGCGTCCATTAGCATCGACGAGATGGGCCATTTCGGAAGATGGGGCCCACCGTCATGGACGTTCCGGGGGGGGGGGGGGGACGACGGCTTTCCCCACCCGATCAGGCGACGCGCACCGTTTCCCCACTCAGAAGTGGTCAACAACTGGCGCAGCTTTGTTGATGCGGGCAGATCGGCTGGAGCGTCGGGCTAATCCGCGCTCATCTCCCGACCTAATGGTTATGTTTGGTGCGGCGGGGGAGTTCCGGAACATGGCTGGCTTACTTGCTGTCCCATGCCCCGCTGGGAAGCCCCACCGACCATGGACGAGTGGAACGCAAAATGAAAAGCATGAAAATGTATGTCTGCACAAGTTGTTGCAATTTGCGGGTGTGCTCGCTTTACTAGTAACATTCGCTACGGTTTTACCCTCGTCCTACGGGCCTTGGAGGACCCCTCTAAAGGTTTTCGAGAATAAGTTTTTGATGACCATAAGAGTGGTGTCGAAATTTAGATTAGAGCATCTTCTGTCACCACTGGGTCCTGGCCTTCGGCTTCTTTCTTGAGGTCGCGTTGGTGATATTTTGCTCAAAAATGACGAATAGCGCTCACTTCTCGCAAAAAGTGAACTTCAGAGAGCTTTTCAGGCCTTCCCTTCTAATCGAAATCACTCTGAAGTACTTTGCTATCATTCTGATGTTGTTTTCAAGGTCGGATCATCTAAGGTCAAGCTACGTTAAACTTTGAGGTTTGTGACCATACCTTACCGTGTGAAGGTCATACGATTCAGACCTTAATGACACATGAACTATGGCCTTTCTAACCGTGCTCTTTCCCACTGATGTGCCTTGTTACGTACCCAATGCAGCCAGTTAGGCCAATACAGCAATCGCCTTCATCCAGTTTACCCGGCATGACCTAGCGGAGGTCACGCTGTGAGCGGTCTTGCTTGTTAACTTCCTGCTCCGTTCGCTGCCTCGGTGCGCCGTTGTGCGGACCTACCCTGAACTCGCTGGGATGGCGGGCCGACGGGTCAGTGGGGACGCTCACCAGCCCCGGCCGGCCGTGGGCACGCTCTGACCCTGGTGGGGAGGGGGCCGCTCGGCCGCCGGGGCGGCGTGCCTCTGTACCCTGACTGGGTCGCGAACCTTCTCCAGCTGCCTGGAGCCAATTGGGGAATGCCGGCCGGTCAGCGGCGCCGCTCACTCGTGCATGGATCGGCAGAAATGCAAAGTCTCAAAGATGCACGCTTTAAGTGACGCTGGAGAGCGGAGTGTTTCAGGGTGACAACATGTGGCGATGTCCACTAGTGTCCGTGTTGTAGAGTTTTCCAGCCGTCATTTAACACTCTTTTCTGCATTGTCGTATCGTGTTTAGTTCTTGAAATAACACCAAGGGTTTTTCAGGTGTTTATTTAACCACCTGATTTTCAGGTGTCAATGTAACATGATCTGATTTAATCTGTCTGGGTTCATATCGACGATTGTTAACTTAGACTTTAATGGTGCATAGTATGGTTTAATATATATATATATATATATATATATATATATATATATATATATATATATATATATGTGTGTGTGTGTGTGTGTGTGTGTGTGTGTGTGTGTGTGTGTATGTGTCACATTTATTGGCTCTGCACATCTATCTGATGCAGTTTGACGAACGAGAGCTTTCCAATGTTTTTCACATGACTCCAGCTTGCTTCGTTTTCGATATTTTAGTGGGGGAGGGGGTTCTGAGGCCTTATCCGAAGGGCAGAGGTGAAAAATTTCGTGAGTCGTGGGTTAACGTATGCTTATGATGCAAGGGTGCAGAATTGGGTCCAAAATCAGAATCGAGATGCGTTATCTGATAATTCTGTTAGGTTAATCCCAGCCTTTATTCAGTGTTTGATGGCCGGCAAATGAAGCTTTAGTGTAAATGAACCCAGAAACGAAAAATGTTTGATGATTATGCCGCATTGCATTCAATTTGCCTTTACTTTTTGCGTTTATTGCATTAAGAGATATCTTGCAACGGTTTCTGAAAGATTTGACCCCAGGTGGCAATTTAGACGGTTCCAGATGTTGTCGGTGACAGAAAAGGCAACATTTCCAGCCCTGCCCAGCCCAGCCCTGCCCAGCCCTGCCCTGCCCAGTCCTGCCCAGCCCAGCCCAGCCCTGCCCTGCCCAGCCCAGCCCTGCCGCCACTAACCACTAGCCCGAGCAACAACCAGGCTCCGTCACCGTCCAGTTCAGCATTCGCTTTACGGCGGGCAGTGGAGCGAGGGGCGGAGCGTTACAGCCGTCTGTGGGCGGGAAAGCGCGCTAACCCAGCCCGCTGTCCCTTGCATTTCACGCGTGAGCAGCGCCTTTTGTCGTACGACGACCCGAGGCTCCAGCCGCAGAGTGGAAGGGAATGGGTGGGAGCGCCGCTCAACGCGTGGGCTTACGTCACCGCTGTGCCCGCGTGCTGGCCGGGACTGTCAACGCCGTGAAATTCCGCTGAACGCGCCGGTTTCCCCGCGCTTTCGTGGCGAATATAGCCGACTGTGGCGCGCGTGGGCCGGGAGACCCTGAACGTGAGCACCAGAATAGTCGGTGTTTACGGAAAAGCCGCGGCATGTCACAGAAGTCGCGGGCGGAGACGAGAGAGAAGACGCAGAGCTCCAGCACGCCTGGCGCGCAGCCAGGGGGAGCGCTGTACTGCGCTGGACGTCTTGTCAGCGAACTTAAGTGTCTCAGCTACAGCTGAGCTGCGCGGTGCTGCGGGCGGCACTTGGTATCTGTGACGTTGGGCGTGCTGCGCTTATGGCAACTGGCAGCACGCCGCCCCTGGAGCCCGCTGGTAACCCAGGCTCACAATCGGCCCCTAAGTCCCCCCCCCCCCTCACACCCACACACGCGCACTCGTTCTCTATTCACTACGAATAATTACTGTTTTAAAAGTCACATTTTGGCGGCGTGGGGAAGTCGTGCGGAGAAGCGACGCGTGCAGGCACGATCAGCAGCGAGTCCAGGCGCGGCCTGGCACTCGCTACTGGGCGCGTCCCGCCCGTGGAAAACGGAGCTATAAAGCTATATAATAATGTAAATAACAGTAATGATGTATGAAGAATTGATCAACGAGGGCCATCGCTGCTGGAAATGGCGCGACAAAGAGGGGGCTGATGAGGCTTTAGTCTCCCCCCCCCCCCCCACCCACCCCCGGTCAGGTTCGAACGCGGTCTTACACCACAACACTACTGAGCACAATTCCGAACTCTGGGAACAAAAAGCTATTTTGGTTTTAGATTTTACGGACACTACCATTTGCAGCAATATTTACAGCCAAATTGGCGTAAGTTACTAACAAGACAAACGAATAGTCGACGTGTATTGTATTCAGCTGTAACTTACAATCGTTTGAAGGAGATGCTCCACATTTATATGGGGCTTTGAACTGGAATAGCGATTTTGAAGACCTTTTGGTGCTGTTCACTATCCTACCCCATTTAAGACCTAAGCACCCCTAGTTTCTGAGCTACACGCTCGCGAAAATGGGGAAAGGTATATCCGGGAGAGTATTTCAGCCCCCTTGTCATTCATGACGTCATACGAACGTCATTCGAATCCTGTCATTTCATAAGCCATGTGGTAGTCAGGACCAAAAAATAGAATTGCTGGGGGTTCCTATCCGGCGCTTGTGAACGCGTTTACCAGATACAACGGCCGTCAATTGGCTCTCAATCAATACTGTGCAAGGTACGATGCTGTAATCAAATCATGATGCATTGAGGAGCGTATTTACTAAATAGAGAGTTGTGCTATCTAGAGCACTCTTTTCCGCTTATAAAGTACGCCAATAGTTGGAAGTGAGCTTGTGTCATATATGATGTTTGCCTCCATATCTTTAAATGTGAAACGGCCTTTAATGCACCACGGCATGCCATCGTCGATAGCTTATTGAAACGATAGATGCTGTACTTATTAGCGTTTGTGGGGTCCGTTAATCTATTCACGCGGCGTAGATACTGTGAATGGGACTGGGATTCGCTCATAAATGTAGCCACCCCCTGTGGCAAATTTTCACCGCACCGTGGCTGCTAGTAGCTTATGAGTTAGCCACGCGCTGCTCACCTGTTTTCAATCCACCGCTCCAGGTTACCAGCGTCCATCGCCTCGAGCGCCAGACAGGGCTCGCGGAAGTCACAGAGCGACCCCGAGTCTATCGAGCGCTTACGTCGACCCAGCAACGCTGAAACAGAGCAGCGCACACGGCGTCAATGTGGGCGTCTCGAGCAACGTCAGCCGAGGGAACAGGGCGTGCGCGTGATCGGGGAAGAGATGCGGAGCCTGCTAAACGTACGGTGAAGTCTGACTTAGCTGGACGCGAAACGAAAGTAGTCTTGGAAGTAGCTGAGCAATTTGGCAGACAGTGGGTAGTTAAACACATCTGAAAAATGTACATGCATGTCTTTGTTTCTCACCATGCCTCTGCTTTTGCAGTGTCATCAACTGATAATCTGAGAGTCTCAATACACCTATGACGTTATTTCAGGATTGTTTGACAGGCTCAACTTCGCATCCTGGATACTGACGTTAGTCATATAAAGATGCCTACTCATATGCAATGCAATGATGTCTGACGGCTGTAAAACGTTCGACCGCAGCGCGGCGTCACCCTTCGGTTGCGCCGATTGGAAACGGCCATAGCAGGCACTTCTGCATCATTGGACAAGACAAATCACAGCAACCAGGTCTCTAGGTTCAGTGACCGGACGTCACGCCCATCCCAGAGTCAAGCACTCAAACGATGCACAAAAAGGGCGCAGTCAAATTTCGTTCCGATTCGAGTGCGGTTCACTGCCACCGTTAATGGGAGCCGGTTTTTGCTCTGGCTGGACCAGCTGAGTGATCTAGGCCACGACGCGTGAGGCGCGGGGCGCCTCTTTTGCAGGGCAGTTCTTGCTGGATGCGTGGCGGCATGTTCACTGGGAAGTGTGGGAGCTCCGTCCGATAGCAGCTCGTGGTGTCATTGTTGGAGACGGAGGACGGTATTAAGCGGACGCCAGACCGGTCAGAGGGCGCAACGAGCGATAACATTCCAAAACGGACATGAGAAAGGAAGAGTATTGGCAAGGTTATGTGGTTTGTGCTGTTTCGGTTTGAACCTGTAGATGTACAAATCGGGAGGCATGCGGTAGAACCATGGTTTCTCTGGAAGTCGATTCCACCAGCAGAAATTGAACATGTAATCTGTATAGAGGCACAGTGTTTTAGTCATATAATTGAATAAAACACCTCGTCTCTATGCAGAGCAATGCACGTTTGAGAAGCATGTAAATGCTTCACCGTAATTGTGCAGTTGAATTGCAACGATCCATGCAGGGCGATACAGGGGTGACGAATTTACTTCCGAACCTTTGTGAAAAACAAATGCAAATATGCATCATGGCAACGCCTCCATACTGCACGCGCTCAAAACACTTCATTATGTACGTCCGTGCGCATGTACGGGGCCAAGCGCCCCAAGGCGACACTTCGGAATATCTCTTCTGACACCGCCTGCACCCATGCCTGCCAGGGAAGCCTGGCCGCCCGGCTGGCCTCGGGGCGCCGTTACACCCGCCGGACTGCCCGTCACGCCCTGGCACCGACGGCCGGGTGGAACGGGCCCGAGCGTTGGACGCGGCCGGCCGGCCGGCGGGCGGGTCTGCGGCGCCTCGGTCCGTGCCGCTGCAGATCCGGGCCGACCCGCGAGGCCGCCGTCACTGGGTCGCTGCAAGCTCCGCCGGCCACCGCAGGTGCACCGGTCTGACGGGCACGGGAGCCGGACGGGGCAGCAGAAGGAGGGACAGGATGCGGGTGGGGCGCTGATTGGCGGGACAGGAGAGGAACGGGGCAGGAGGCGGACGGGGCAGGAGGAGGGACAGGATGCGGGTGGGGCGCTGATTGGCGGGACAGGAGGCGGACGGGGCAGGAGGCGGAAGGGGTAGGAGGCGGACGGGGCAGGAGAAGGATGGGACAGGATGCGGTTGGGAGCTGCTGGCGGGACAGGAGACGGACGGGGTGGGAGAAGCGTGGAGCACAGAATGCGGGTAGAGCAAAAGTCTGGCGAGACACGGGAGCGAGACGTGGACGGGGCGGGAGGCAGACGGAGCGGGACATATTCTCCGAATAAATTGTCATTTGCTTTCAGGCAATGCCACACTATTGTTTGCTAGTTACCTGACTGACACACTACTCTGAAGATCAATACTTAAGCATCCAACAACAAATTCCGCTGACTTCCCTTCACAGCGAACTACCAAATCCTCCACGGGTGCACCATCACGACGTCCTGAGCCCTGCAAGTTGGAAGATGCGGCATGCACAGTGTTGACGCACCTGGGTGTGTAAATAGTGCGCATCGAGTGGAGTGTCGGAACGAGTTCAGCATCTGCGCACCTCCGCCACGTAGAATGTCTATAACAGGCGTTCGGGTCAACGGCAGAAGCTCGCTGCGACGCTTGGTGAAGTCCAAATACGTGGATTGTGCCAATTCAGTTCATGCCAGTGACAGTCGTATTCATCAAACAGCCACTCCGCACCTTTCTGTTACAATCCTGACATGGCCCAATCAGACGACCGGCGAACTGCACGGTGCTGCCATTCCAAATGCATGTATTACCTTGCCGCATTAGCATAGTTTTAGGATCGTGTTTACCGAAGCCTTCTTAAATGCACACACCTGTAGCCTTCACCGTTGACCACAATAGAATACTAAAACTGTCGTCCCGTCCCGTAAATGCCGTCGTTGAGCGCTGGCATTTGCTGTCTGTCTTTTCTTTTTTCCGACAGCGTGCGGGGTCATGATCGTAACCTCGCTGCGTAAGCAAACGTGAATGTGGGTCATTCAACACACAGACGCCTGCCGAATACCAGGATGTGAATCACACACACATGCCTCACTTGAAGGGATGTACGCAGGACTTCACAGGGGGCACAACGCGGTGAAAAAAACGGCACATGCCGAGTTAAGCGCACCACAGGTGTGGGCAAGTGTCTTGTGGGTAGTGTGGCAATTCCGCATGTCCTCGTTTTTTCTCTTTGTACGCGTCTGCTTGGATTTTCGAACTGCGGACTTTTAATTGTGTACATATAAATTCACGTCATATATTTGGTGAGGCGGTCACGTGCCCCCAGCGATTTCTATGTGCGTACGTCCTTGCTGACGCAGAGCTCGTGTGGCGGCCGCGTCTTCCTCACCTATGTCAGGAGTGCACACAGCGCAGGGAAGAGAAATCGATGCAGCGGACACATGCACGTCCTAGATAGCGTCGACCAGAGAGCATCTGGACGGGTCAGTTCTTGCACCATCACGGCGCCCCGAATAGAGCATCCGGCCTTCTGGTTTGTGTACCCGCCTGTCGCGGTCATCAAGCATGCTGGCCCGCACCAGAGTCCATTCGATCGAACGTGTGGAACGCGTGGCTTTAAGCATCCGCATCGTGCAAGAGACGGACCAGTTTGACCTCGCGCCGAGAAACCGCACAGACCGCGTGGCCCGACGACACCCCCAAATATTATGGTATGAATGCTGCTGGGAGGCTAGGGTAATGAGCACCAGAGCCACCCCTAGGCATCCCTTTCAGCGTTCTTATTCACTTTGCCTCAAGTCTGCATTGCCTGTAAGCAGCCAGTTCAACAAGAATACGGTTATCAAACTCGTTAACTCCGCTGGATTCTCCCGCGTTGGGCGCGCTGTAATGTTCGCTCGCCGTTTCGTACCTCAGCCAAATTTGAGCCTCATTCTTAGTCACTTAAGTAACGCCACAAATTCGGGTGACACAAATTATTTCACATCAGGCGGAGGCCGGTAACGGCCACGTCCCCTTCACCACATCAAATCAGTTGGGGGGGGGGGGGGAGACACAACATGGCTGCGGAGACGCGGTGTCCCTCCTGACCCGACTACTCCAAGCGTGGTCTCTGCCACACGGACGTCTCGGTCAGCCCGTCTGGGGTAGACCGGTTCAGTCCAGCACAGTTCGGTTAAATCCGGAGCAGTCCAGTCCGATCTGGAGTATTCCGGTCCGATATGGAGCAGTCCGGTCCCATCTGGAGTCGTCTGGTCCGATCCTGAACAGTCCGATCAAATCCGGAGCAGTTCGGTCAAATCCGGAGCGGTCTGGTCCGATCCGCAACAGTTCGGTCCGACCCTGAACAGTCCAGTCCGATCCGGACCAGCGCGGTCGTTGGCCCTCAGCTGGCGGCGGAGGAGGCTGCTGCAGCGCCAGTTACCACCACTCTTTCCTCCTGTTCCTCATAGCAGCTTCCTCAGACGCCAATGTTGGTCCTGGGGCGAGTCCCGTCTCACGCTCGGTAGGCGTGTGCAGGCAATGCCTCTGGCCCGGGCGTGCCGCGACACCAGAGCGCATTCTCACGGCGGATCACGAGAGGACTGCGGGCCCGGGCGTGTCGCGACACCAGAGCGCATTCTCACGGCGGACCACGAGAGGACTGCGGGCCCGGGCGTGCCGCGACACCAGAGCGCATTCTCACGGCGGACCACGAGAGGACTGCGGGCCCGGGCGTGTCGCGACACCAGAGCGCATTCTCACGGCGGACCACGAGAGGACTGCGGGCACGGGCGTGCCGCGACACCAGAGCGCATTCTCATGGCGGATCACGAGAGGGCTGCGGGCCCGGGCGTGCCGCGACACCAGAGCGCATTCTCACGGCGGACCACGAGAGGACTGCGGGCTCGGGCGTGCCGCGACACCAGAGCGCATTCTCACGGCGGATCACGAGAGGGCTGCGGGCCCGGGCGTGCTGGGGCGCGCAGGTGACCGGCGGGGCAAAAAAGAAGCCGGTGACGGTCTGACGGTGCGGTGAGAGGCACAAGTGATGCGCTGTCGACATTCGGCACGTATGCGGGTTCTGGACGAACGGATTTAAGGAGAATGGAGTCTGGTGATTATTTAGGTGAAATTAGGTTGGACAAAAACGATTTAAGAGGTGAACTGGATGAAAATCAACGCGTTCCGTGCGGTAGTTGGATCGTTGTTAGTTGGTCTGTGCGCGCATTTTTGAAGAGTCGCCTACAGCCAGAATGGATTACGCAGACCGGAGCGCGATTTGGGATATATACCTGGCCAACGGTACTTGCCTAGGGTGTATGCGAGGCAACCCAGCAGAACGCTTTAAGCGTGCGAGTGATACCTATAACTGTAAAAGACATAGATACTCTCACCGCGCCGGATGGACGGGGCT